GAGCACGACCGCAGCTCACCACCGAAAACCGGGGCCGCGGAGCCTCCTCACCCCGGCAGCTCGCTCCGCAGCCCGCCCAGGAACCCGCGGCAGGGCCCGGCGGAGAGCGGGGCAGCAAAACCCGCCGCCCCGGGCCACCAGCCGCCTGCCCGTGCCGCGGAACGTGCCTTCAATTAAAGCCGCCTCCAACACCCGCCTAGCCCGAGGGGTCTGCAGGCTCCGTCGCCCCGTGAGCCCCGTGCCCGCGGGCAGGGCCGGCGGTAACAAAGAGGCGGCAGGAGGCAGCGCTGAGGCGGCGGGAGCTGCCGCCTGGAGGGGAGCGGGGGCCGCACTCACTTCCTCTGGGCCTTGTCCTTCTTGGCTTTGGTCCGCTTCTTCCGGGCCTGCAGCGCTAGCACTGAGGGGAGAGAACGGAAAGACCTGAGTGACAGCGGGAGGAGCACTGCCCGGGGCGCGCCGCGGTGCGGTGCGGGCCGCCGCGGGTCTCACCTTTCCGCTCCATGGCCGTCAGCGCCGGGCGTCCCTGCCCCCGCACCCGGGCCCGGATGCGCATGCGCGCCTTGGCCACCTGCGCGCGCCGCCCCGAGGCCTCATCCTCGCTCCAGCTCGAGCTCGAGCTGCTCCATCGGCCGCCGGCCGCGAGGCGGCGCTGCCACGGCACCGGCATGGGGGCCGCGCCGCACGGCAGGCGCGGGGAGGCGGCGGCGGCGGCGGCGGCGGCGGCGGCGGCGGCGGCGGTGGCGGTGGCGGCGGCGGTGGTGGTGGTGGTGGTGGTGGTGGTGGAGGTGGGAGGCGCGGGCCCCGCCGGCGGCTGGGGCAGCTGTGACGTGAGCGCTGCGGGCGCGGTGGCGTTCGACAGGGAGGTGTGTGGTGGATGGCGTCAGTGCGCGCATCGTGGGGTGGTCTGGGTTGAAGGGACCTTAAAGCTCCTCCAGCTCCAACCCCTGCCACGGGCAGGGACCCCTTCCATAGAGCAGCTTGCTCCAAGCCCCTGTGTCCAACCTGGCCTTGAACACTGCCAGGGATGGGGCAGCCACAGCTTCTCTGGGCACCCTGTGCCAGCGCCTCAGCACCCTCACAGCAGGCAACTTCTTGCTTTAGATCTAACCTGAACTTCCCCTGTTTCAGTTTGAACCCATCACCCCTTGTCCTATTGCTACAGTCCCTGATGAAGAGTCCCTCTCCAGCATCCTTGTAGCCCCCTTCAGACACTGAAAGCTGCTCTGAGGTCTCCCTGCAGCTTCTCTTCTCCAGGCTGAACAGCCCCAGTGTTCTCAGCCGGGCTCCATACAGGAGGTGCTCCAGCCCCTGCGCATCCTCGTGGCCTCCTCTGGCCGTGCTCCAACAGCTCCATGTCCTCGTTACACTGAGGACACTGCACACAGTAGGCAGTGGGACTGAGTGCACCATCAGCGAGTTCACAGAGGATACACACGAAGCTGAGTGGTGCAGCTGACATGCCCAAGGGACAAGAAGCTATCCAGTGGGACTTGGACAGGCTGGAGAGGTGGACTCATGGATGGTCATGGTGGTCAGGAACCACAGAGTTTCAGTTTTTTAAAAAGGGCCTACAAGAATGATGGGGAAAGGCTTTTTGGCAGGGCCTCTTGCAACAGGACGAGGAGTGATGGTTTTAAACTAAAAGAGGAAGATTCAGGCTGGATGTGAGGAAAAATTCTTTACAATGAGGGTGACAAAACACTGGCACAGGTTGCCCAGAGAGGTGGTGGATGCCCCATCCCTGCAGCCATTCCAGGCCAGGCTGGATGTGGTTCTGGGCAACCTGGTCTACTTGAAGGCATCCCTGCTCATTGCAGGGGGGGTGGACTGGATGAGCTTTGAATGTCTCTTCCAACCCAAACTATTCCATGATTCTATGAATCTGTAACCCACCCCAGGTGCCCCATGGGAGGAAGAACAGTGGCGGGGCCATGACACCAGGACTTGTCATCCGGCCCAAGAAGGTTGCTCATTGTGGGGGACACGCAGCAGAGGGTGAACCGCAGGGTGCTCCGCGGGGTGCCTGGAGGCCTCCCCCACGCCCCTCAGCCTGTCAAGCTTTGCACTGAGGAGATCTGGAAGGTGTGTGCCTTTCACAGTGAAATGCCATTAGAATGAGAGAATATTAAATTACTTTGTAATTACCATGAAAAATATGAAACTTTTCAGCAACTGGGCCATTCAGGCCTTCAGCTGTTAAGTGCTGAACAAAGAACCCGTGTTTTAAGGTGCTTGTACATTCACCTCAGACCTCCCGCAAGCTCTATTCCTCCCTGTAGCTTTGCATATCATTAGTTTACTCCTAAGAACTCCCCACAGCCCCGTTCCAGCACGTTCCACGTTGTGTCAGGCTCTGGCAGGGATTCTGGCCACCCGTTCCTGTCGGCAGAGGGAGCCCCGGGCACCGGCTGTGGCCAGGGCCCGAACGGCGGCTCCTCTGGGTTAATTCCTCAGACACGGCACCTCCACGTGTCATGGTACCAGGTTATGAATGTTTCCACGGAGGGGCAGGTGTGCCTGTGTGGCGTTTGGAAGACAGGAAAAAGCCCTTTCCCTAATTTGTAGTTGTTGCTCTATTCCTCACTACAAGCACCAGATGTTTAGCACATCTGTTCTGCTGCAAGGAGAGATGTGAGAAATCACAAGATTTTGTGATGGGGAGGCAGCAGAAACGGACAAATTTCAGCACAGCTGCAGCGTTCAAAGTAACTGAGCAGAAAGACCTCAAGCACAATGGGGTCCCCCTTGTACAGCAAGTTCCCACCTCAGAGAAGTCGCAGTGTGAGTAATGATGATCTATAGGTAGCCCTCCAGCTGTTCTGTGCTTGTCCCTGACAGTTGGTGTATGCTCACACCGGCTCTGCTCTGCGCTGCTGCTGGCCTAGGCTGGGTTTCTTCACGTGAGGACATGAGAGATGGCATGTGGCTGGGTTTGGAAAACCCTGGGGTGAGGCAAGTGTGAGGACATGTATCATATTCCGTTCAACAGTAGGGAACTGTGGTGAACGCTGCAGCCCAAAGGACCTTGTGCACAGGTCAGCTGCAGAGGCAAGTTATTACTGAGCACTCATGCTCTTGTCAGGTTTCTTCCATGACTCTTCTAATTTGGGACAGAAAAACACAATCTGGGGCACCCCCCCAGAAGGCTGCTGGGCCAGGCCTTAGCAAAGACAGAATCATCTTTCCACAACCAGCCTGGCACTTGTTTTTAAAGCAGAATAAATGCCCCAGACTATGCCCATACGTAACTAGTTTGTCTGGTCCTTCCTCCTTGCTTCCTGCGCAGTGTCACACACCACAGTGCGTGGCCACAAGAACTGCTTCTGCCATGCTCTGTGTGACTCCTGAGCTTCCCCCTCCAGCCATTTACACACCAGAGTATGACAATAATAAAACAACGGGGGTGTGGGTGGTTATATATGCTTTGCACCACCTGCAATGATAATGTGTATGTTTGAGGGTCTGTATCCTCTAGTTCAGTGCAATGGGAGATCTGTCTGGGTTTCCTGCTACAAAAACATTGTGGCATTACACAGGCTGCAAAGGACATGAAGAAGTTGCTGTGTGCCCAGAACAACCGTAGCTGTTGCAAGTAGGTCAAGCGAGAACGTCAAGCTGCCTGCAAACACTTAATTATAGACAGGCTTTTGAACCCCAACTTTGTGGCTTTTCAGAGGTGTAAGTCCTTGGCCATGGAGTACGTGCTTTGTCATTTCACAGCCTGTGTCCAGGGATTTGTGCTTGGCTCAACACAACAGCTTTGTGTACGGATGCGGGAGCAGGGGTATGGCACTGCACAGCTCTCAGGGAAAAGGACTGGGACTGTCTGGAATTCTTCTCAGCAAGATACTTGGTTTGCAACATGAACACCCATAATTTGAACACTGACGTCTGAGTTGTCCCCTGGTGTCCTGGGGTAGGGAGGTAAAACTCAAAACTTTGCTGAATGAGCCAAAAAACCACCAACAACTCTTAAGTTTGCAACAGAGACTTTCTATGTTGCAAACAGCTTGGGATGCCATTTCATCTTAAATCAAGACTGCTGTAGGAGAGCCAACAGAATCTGGAAATTAGGGCTATACTGTTCATGGGTTTTGTATTACTCTGTTTTGAACAGAGCCCAGAGGACCTTGGCGTAAAGCCACTGTCCAAAACAATGCAGGGAAGCATATGTGGTTTGAGAATTACTCAATACCATTTGAGCTTTCAGTTTTTCCTGTCTTTCATTCCAAAAGGTATGAGAGTTCCAGGACTCAGTTTCCTCTACAGTAAGCAGCTCCACACAGTAATGTGCACTAAAATCCTTCACCACTGCAGTTTTCACAGGCAGTGCTGTGGCTTCCCTCTAGAAACTGCTTGGAAGCAGTATGAATTTAAATTGAATATATATATATATTAGTAGAACTCACTGGAATAAATTACAGACAATTTAATACTAATATTACTATTAGCCATTGTATTATTGCTAAACTTTAGCAGCCAGGAGCAGCAGAATTCAGAGGAGCCACCTTGCTGTTGCTGCACATCCAGGAACCACATGATGACCAGCAGCAAAAGCCAGATCTGTTCACATGTTAACGAATTCAGCCCAGGGCCCAGGATCTGTACACAAAGGATACATCATTTAAACCCAATTTTGCCCTAAAATGGGGTCTGGATGGTATTTATACACAGTGCAGGCCATCCAGCTGAAGTTAATTCACCTGCAGCTCCTTGGCAGTTTGTGCTATGGGATAATCCTACAGATGAGGGCAGGGTGAAGCCTTGTGATGTGTACTGCTGGTATAAAACTCTTCTGCTTTCAGGGGAATCCTGCCTTATGCCTCTGTACTAATATTACTGCATCCAACTCTGGCTGATCTCCAGAAAATACAACTAAGTGGAGTTTTTTATCAAGTGCTAACTGTATCTAAGGCTACAATTTTCCTGCTTCTTCAGAACAAAGTGAAGATATTCTCCCATTCTGAACCATTTCAGTAAAGGACTAAAAAACCATGAAAAAAAATTAGATTGTTTACTGGGATTTAGTTCTGGTGGATTAGAAAGGGACTGAGGAATAAATAATGCGCAGCATGTCATGTTAGGGCAGACAATAGTGTTGAAGAGTAATAGTAAATGTTTTCTTTGAAGCTTCACATCATTCCAAATGCATCTGAGAATACTCAAACTGCCTGCATGTTGAAATATGGCAGATTAATTTAACTTACTAACCAGCAATAAATATCTAAGAAGTGCTAGGTTAGGACATTTAAACTTCTTCAGAGTTTCAGAAAACAAGTGCAAATGATTTGCTAGAATTAGCTACAAAACTAGGAATTATCTCACACATTGAAATGTCTCTGCTTTCAGCATTGCTGGCTGGAATATCTATTGGAAAAGACTTGCAAGTAATAACATAAATGTTGCTTTTTGTTTAGAACAGCACAATTACAGGAGGCATTAGGCTGTATATTTTAAGAACTCTGGAACAGGAAAAAGAGGATCAAAAGCTCATAAAAATCACCGGAACTGTTGCTTAACTGTACTTTTCTTCTCTCTGCTGAAATCCCAACTCTCCAGCAGTTGCAATTCAGGCCTTGCTGCTCTACTTCCATCTCCTCACCCAGCCTGGGTCCTGGAAATCCGATTGATAAGGTTGAGTATGATACTGCTGGACAGAGCTTGGACCTGCTTCATTTGGCGCTGAGCATGAGGCATCTTCATGCCAGTGTTTGTTGTAAGAGTTCTTTCCAGAGAAAAGATCTTTATTCTTCCTTGAGAGCAAACTTCTCCTCTGAAACATAACACAAATGTTACTGTAGGGGGTGGCCAAGCTGTTGAGCTGTTCAAGTGCAGCTCCTGTGCCAAAGCACCATCCTGTGTGCAGTGAGAAGGGGCCACAGCAGCACACTGCTGGGGGTCTCATGCACACCCCAGCCCAGCTCCATCCACTGTCACCTCCTGCCTGCTGGCTGCTCCCAACCCTCCCGTCCATGTCCAGGAAAGGGAGACTGGTGAATATACACTAGAGGGTGACACCACAGAAGGTCAGCATCCTTGCGGTAGACTATTCATAGAATCGTAGAATGGCTTGGGTTGGAAGGGACCTTAAAGTTCATCCAGTTCCAACCCCCTGCCATGGGCAGGGACACCTTCCACTAGACCAGGTTGCTCGAAGCCATGCCAGGATAGGGGAGTTAAACAAGTTTTGCCATGAGCAGCAGACTTGAGAACCCTGTTTTCCTGCAGTTTTGTGTTGGTTTTTGCCTTCACTCTTGGTTCCTTCAGCCATAGGACCCCAGCCTGGCTGTACACATAGCCACAGCTGGGTTCTTTCCCTAGGTGGAGCAATTACTGGAACCTTCTACTCAGAACAAGGGCTTTTCCTGGAACTTGTTCTGCCCTGTTCAAACTTGTCTGGGACAGCCAGAGAGCTCAAAAATTATTGCAGAATACAGACAGAAAGAGCATGTGCATAAACTTCAGTTCTTCAGGAAGTCAAGCTAGCACTGTCCTTCGCTTCCCCATCAGCCCCAAGGGAGCTGGTGTAGTAACCTCTGGAAATAAAACACTTGGAGCTTTTGCTCTGGCCTGGCAGGGTCCTTGCTCTGTCAGAGAAATGGAAACAATTTAAAATGCAAGAGTCATTCCCTGCCTCAAAACTCAGCTGGATGCTTTTCCAGCCAACACACAAAGATGCCTTTCCCCAAACAGGAATACAGGGCTCAAATAAACAAATGGGATTACGGACGCAAAAAGGTGAGTACCTGTGAAAAACCAGAGAATCCAAAAGAGCACCTGCTCTGCCCTATTTCCTCAGCCACATGACAAGGTTTAAGTTACAGACAGGATAATTTAACAACATAAAGGGCTTAAATGTTAAGCTAAATATTCTACCTCTTGCTGTTCAGGTGGTGGTCCTTCAGCGAACTCTCTCACAGCCTGGTCTAGCTCATCTGGCTTCTGATGCTTGTTCAAAGCAGCCAGCACAGCATCATGAAGAGTTAGAAAGAACCTTTCTTTGGTGATACAGCTGTCAAAGAAATCATTCTTCTCAAAGTCTGCTACCATGGAGGCTATAAAAAATGGGGGAAATAAATAAAGTAGCAAAATCACACCAAGTAGTACAGCTAAATCATTTCACTTAAGTTTAAAACTTATCCTTGGAGATAAGTCAATGTTAGTAAACAAATACTGTACTCACAGTGACAGCCAGCTATAAGGACTGTAATGCCAATATTGTGAAACATATGAATGATCTGTGGAAAGAATTCCATGCAGGCATTAGAGCAATTCTCATTACACAAGTGCACTAGAAGGTGAAAGATAAACAAGGAAATAAAGCCTCTCTTGTAGTGTTTTATCTCCAAAGAAAACCCTTATTCCTGTATCTCAAATCCTGATTTTGAGTTCAGCATTCAACAGCCATCTACATCTGTGCCTGTATCTGTGTCTGTATTGGTATCTGTATATCTCTGTAGATCTATATATCTCTCTATATATGTACATCTGTATTACATATATCATATATAGTCCTTTAACTTGGTGTGAAAGGAATCAGATTTCAGAGAGGATAGATTCTCATCGTTTTCTCAATCCCTGACCCTTTGTAATTAAAACATCTCAAAGTTGGTTTGGGGGTTTTATTAAGTCAATTAAACTTGCTATTTCAGAGAATCACAGAATTTCAGATCATGGGGCTGGAAGGAATCTGGAAAGTCTTTGACTTACCCTCTTCCCCAGTGGAAGGGTCATTTAATGGGTAGCAAGTCAATCTTCAAGGATTTGGGGGCATTGGCTCAGTCCACAATTATTCCCAATAGGTGGGAATTATTAAAAACAAATCTTTTTATTTGTGTTTAATTAAACAAAAACTCTGAGCTACAGAGTTTGAGGGAGATGACTAAGAATCCACCTGGAACTGTATCTTGCTGAGAAGCACATCCACATGACATCTATTTTTACTATAGATACATCTCCATTGGCTCGGATCCCCACTTGAAGACTTTAAAGTCCCAGGCATACGTCAAAGAAAAGGCTAATCAGGGTTTAGTAACATCAAAATCACTCTAGGAGAAGACAGCTGGTGGGTTTATATTGGATGCTTTGAGAGGACAGCATTTTTTAATTGTTCAGTTAGAAGCAAAAATAAACAGCCAAAATGGCAAAAAACCCAAAGTAGACATTTTTATAAATGTCTTTTTAGTTTACATGATTCTAGAGTTGGTCACAATGGAGGACAGGGGTTTGCATCTCTTGTACGCATAGTGGGGCTTCTGTTTGTAAAAATAAAGTGGGAATTTATTGATTTCTGAAACTTCATGGATAAATCTAGTGCCTGTAAAGGTCAGCTGGAAGAGGTGCAGATTGTTGTATATCAGGAAATTTTAGGCTAACAAGAAGCACAAGACATTGGGTAAACTTCCAAGTTTCTCATCTCTGCGCAGTTGGGTTACTTACCTGTTGCAGTAAATCTGAACCTGTCAAATCCACAAACTGCACCATGCTGAAGTCAAAAATAATGGTGTGCACTGGGCAGGGCAGTGGCTGTTGTTCCTGATCAAAATGTACGGAGGAATTATCGATTGCAGAGCCCGGTGCCTGGCAGGCTCTTCTGTCCTGCTCATTCCTTCCAGTCCTAACCCCTCTGTGAAAGTCTGGGGATGCATCAGCAGCTCCCACCAGCAACGTCCTGGAGCTGAGTTTGTCTCCATACTTCGACCAACGTACCAAATTCACTGAAGATGATGAGGACTGGCTGTCTGTGGAATGTCGCTTCACCAGTTTCTCTCTATATAGTATCTAAGATGGAAAACAGAGAGTGCACAAGTGGGTGGACGAATGGGGTTGAGGAGGTGGGAATTTATCTGCTGCAAGACAGTGCTGTAAATCATATGATCATAGAATCATAGAATGGTTTGGGTTAGAAGGGACCTTAAAACTCCTCCAGCTCCAACCCCTGCCACAGGCAGGGACACCTTCCACTAGAGCAGCTTGCTCCGAGCCTCTGTGTCCAACCTGGCCTTGAACACTGCCAGGGATGGGGCAGCCACAGCTTCTCTGGGCACCCTGTGCCAGCGCCTCAGCACCCTCACAGGGAAGAGCTTCTGCCTAAGAGCTCATCTCAGTCTCCCCTCTGGCAGATTAAAGCCATTCCCCTTGGCTTGTCCCTACAGGCCCTTGTCCAAAGCCCCTCTCCAGCTTTCTTGTTGGCCCTTTAGGCACTAAAATAGTTCTCTCATGGTAAAAAACACATCTGAAATAACACTAAATATAGGACAAACACACAAGAGTATGTGAAGTAGCAAGTCATCTTGGGCAAGGCTCAGATGTGGTTAGCAGAGCACCTTCAGCCACCCTATAGTACAGTGGTACCTCATTCTTCCATACTGGAATGGCCTGGACTTCCAGTGGCCTGTGATACTGGAATCTGGAATACTTGTGACCTCTACCTTTCAGAAAAGAAAAGAAGATAAAAAGACGGCCTGTGACCACTGCCTTTCTGGGCAACAGAAGGCTGACCCTTACTGGCTGAGTTCTCTAGACCTTTGATTCATCTGCTTCTTGGACGGCAGCTGCTTACAGAACAAACCAATTTAATCATGTCTTCTTTCTTAATAGTTCCTTTTTCTAAGGCAAGAAAGGAAAAGCCACTGTCTGCATTTTTGTACTTCAGAAGATGATGTTAAATTATCTACCACATCCACTTCCTAAGGACCTTGGTGTTGCAGATGTGTTCCTAACCACTGTCTTTCAACCCATTTCTTGTACAATGGCTTTTACAAATCACATGTAACTGCTTGGGAAATATCTTCTGGAGACTGTCCATTCCATGAAGTCCCTTTCTAAGACATTTCAGAGAATTCAAATAAAGAGTATTTGATATGAGTGACTCTAGAAGATGCACAGTGAACAATTACAAATATGAGAAATCCTCTAAACATGATAATCTTATGATGATATTTATAGCTGTCCGAGGTATTTTGTACTTGCACTTGGCAGTGGAAGAAATTCCTCATAAGCAAGGGAGTTCCTCAATCTATAGGGAGAAATAAGAAAATCCCTACTTAAGCACCTAATTCTTGTAGCTGTGAAGAGAATATGTTGAATACTTCAACTGCTGGTTAAATTTGTCCAGTAAGATGAGCTACTATTACTCTATCACATAAAGTATATGTAAAGAAATACAGTGGTAATGGTTGCTTATTTTCATACAGCAAATATATATATACTTTATATATACATGTACAGCCCTTTGGGGCTGTACTGGCAAGTTAAGCATGGTTTCTTCAGTAATGTAAAACCAGGCACCTCAGAGCAACAGACTAGATAAATACACTGTTAAAGCTGACCGTAGTTGGAGGTAGAGGTGGATCATAGACACAAAAGCATGTACGATCTTCTCTTCCCCCTGTAGTGGCGGCCAGACGATGTGAACTAAAAGCCCTCATTTCACTTACATCTAGAGGCACTGTTTTCACATCCATCTGAAAAAGAAAGGCAGATTTGAGTTTTTATCTCCTTAATGCAGGTTCTTATAAAACTTCTGCTGACTGAAAAAGTGGTATTTACCTTGTTCAACAAATAGGTTTTGAAGCAATTCATGTTGGCAAAAGAGATGGAAGAACAGCATTGGAAGATTTTGATTCCTTCAATCTCCTTTGCCTGTAAAACAAAAGTTGTATCTGTTAGGGTTGTAATCAGCAGAAGCTGGTTTGCCCCTACTGACTGTGTTGTAGCCTGCAGGGTGCTACCCTAAGGATGGAGTCTGGCTGGTCTCACTGTTGACTACCCTGGCAGTGGCATTGGGAACACACGTAATGAGTTCAAACTGAAACGGGAAGTTCAGGTTAGATCTAAGGCAGAAGCTCTTCCCTGTGAGGGTGCTGAGGCACTGGCACAGGGTGCCCAGAGAAGCTGTGGCTGCCCCATCCCTGGCAGTGTTCAAGGCCAGGTTGGACACAGGGGCTTGGAGCAAGCTGCTCTAGTGGAAGGGGTGCCTGCCTGGGGCAGGGGGTTGGAACTGGAGGAGCTTTAAGGTCCCTTCCAATGCAAACCATTCTATGATTCTGTGATTCTCTTGCAATTAGAAACATTCCTCCATCAGATCTATCACAGCTGACACTTGGCCGCTCTGATATAAAATAAAGCAAATTATTTTTACTGCTCATCACAGAAAACATACACTATATCTTTGTCTTACTAACCTTGTCCTTACATTAGTCTATTTTTTGCAAACCATTAGCATAGCAATGGGAATGTACCCACATGGCAAAGGCAAAACTCTACTGCTGTATTGCCTACCTCTGCATGGTGCAGGTCTTGAAAAGAACGTGTTAAAAAGGTCCTGCCTGTTTTCCCATCACTGGGAGAACCTGTGAGTCAGTCTAGTACATGCACAGCCACTGTGAAAACACATGCAGTATGGACAAAACCAGACTGAGAAAGGCAGTTCAGCAAAAAAGAAATGCCAAACAGCTCTGGAAAGGACAGCAGAGCAGCTTCCACCATGGAGGCAGCAGAGGTGGACAAGGCACTGCAGAGGCCTGAGCAGGCTGAGCGAGGTATATGCATCACTTCACACTGCAAGTACTTCAGTGTTCTTCAGATTTTTGAATCAAATGAGCTGACTCTGAATGATCACCCCCAGGCATTGAAGGGAAGAAGCTGGATTACAGAGAAAGATGAAACATTTCTTTTTTGTTTCCTCTTACAGCTTTGTAGTCGGATAAACTTCTATAAATATTCGTGTTTGGAATCTGTCCCAGCATCACCGTCTTCATCCTGAAACAAGAGGTTTATTAGGTTTTCACAGAGAACCAGGAAATACCATCTGTTCCCAAAAGGTTGATCTCCATTTCTCTCCTCTCCACTAGATACACCAACTGTAACTTAGAGGGTGTGAGTACAAAAAGTTATTCACTCATATTCAGGGTTCTTTGAGTAGGGGAGCACTACACAAGCACAGCCTTCAGTCACACTGGTGTCCTCAAGAGTGTATAATGTCCCATTTCTACCACTGGAACATTTGGGTTATTGTTATTACACTAGAAAGCATGTTCCCTTTAGTCTCCCCACCGCTCTCCTCAAAGATGCATTTGGTGGAGGCAGCTGTAACCTGTGCTTGGAGCTGCACATAGGCTGGATCTGATCCAGAGCTCATGCAGAAGCATTAACTCAGGGTTTTGCCTTGAAGGAGAATCTCCTGGTTTGGGGACCATGCTTTGCTAATGGTGCTGCATGATTCTGGGGCAAGTTCTGGTTAGTTTGGGGCATGAGTAGAATAAACATGTGGCTGGCTGGCTGGCTGGTTGCTGGGGAACTGGAAGACTGTACCCTGGTTTATGGAAAACTGTTGTCAAGACACTATTCAAGGCAATCTGTTTGCAGATAACTTCCCATGTTTTTTTGAGCATAATGCCTTCACTGGTAGGAAATTGATAAGCACTAATGTATCCTGAACGTACTATGGACAACAGGGAAACTTAACTGAACTGTGGCTGCAGAAATGCCCTTTCACAATGCTCATTAAATGCCAAGGCAAACCCAAGAGCATAACTGAGCAGAGCTAATGCAGTGAGTGTCAGACAGCAACTGAAAGTCTTCCTGGAGGTATCCTCACAGAGCCACTCTCGATCAGGTCATGAGCAGTTCAGTATTTGCAGAAACTGAGTTACTTCCTAACTCTTTCCATGTTGCTTGAGAGGTTTCAGCCTACCCAGAGAAGCGCTTCCCTATCATGGCAAATCTCATGAGGTGTGGCTTGGATTTATGAATGATTTTCCCATTTGGATTAGCAGCTAATAAACTGAGTAATGCATGCCTGACATAACTTCCCTCCCCTATCACAAACTGAGTTGACGGGGAAGATAGAGCAACTTGGTAGATGGCAGTGAAGACTGAGGAATGTATTTGAAATAAAGGTACAACATCTCATTTTATCCCTATACAAGTGTGTATAGAGATCACCTCTCCTGGCTGATGCCTACAGTACAATAAGCCGCCTTCAAGAGCATGAAACACCTGAAGAAGGGACCATAAACTTGAGGAGTTTACTGGATGGTGACAGCAACAGGTTAGATGTAAGGAAGAAGTTCCTCACTGTGAGGGTGCTGAGGCACTGGAACAGGTTGCCAAAAGAAGTAGTAAATGCTCCATCCCTGATAGTGTTCAAGGCCAGGCTGGACAGAGCCTTGGGTGATGTGGTCTAGGGTGAGGCGTCACTGCCTCTGGCAGGGGGTTGGAACTGCACAATCTGAAGGTCCCTTCCAATCCAAACCATTCTATGATTCTATGATTCTGTGATTCTATGAGTAGGTCATCCAGAATGACCTGACTTAAATATTGATGAAGATGAAACAGCTTTTTCGCTGTCACATGTATAACTCTCTCTAAAACATCAACTCAAAAAAAACCCAGTATTTTGTTTTAAAAGTTATAAGTACCTGTGTAACCTAATGGTGATAAGGAGGAACGCGAATCCTGTGGCGATCACTAAACCCATATCAAGACCAAAACAAAGCACTGCAGCAAAAGCTACCAGCCAAATAACCTTTGAAGGAGAGAGAGAGAGAACATGAGCATTAAAAACATGAAAAATTATCTCTAACTCAGCCCTAGCATTTACAGACTGCAGACAATATAAAGGCCTGGAAATGGTAATATGTGAAAAACTTTGTTGGCACATCTAGACCAACCCAGTCCTGGAAGCAGCTGCAAACATCGCAAGTATCGCAAATTCCAGTTCAAATCTTGAGACGTTTTATCAGGGCCTCAATAGTTAGGAAAACCTACATCATATTGAGGGTCTTTATAAGAAATCCTGCACAAGAGCTGACATGAGCATGTGACTCTGTCTGGCGGCTTGACAGTTGCCTTCTTAAGGGATCTGGGAAGAAATAATAATTTTTCCCTCATAGAACGAATTGAAAATTGATTTGAAGAGATAGCAATACACTTTTCTTCAGGACATATTTCAAAGGACCCCTTTCCCAAGGGAATGGCCACTGCTTTGCCCTGCCCTCGTGAAACATCCATTTCTCCCTTTAAGACACATCCCAAATCCTAGGTGGTTTTCTTGGCACTTACGAAATGATACATATCCTGTCTCCACAGCATGCGGATGTCCCGAAAATTTTGAAGAAAAGGGGACACGTTAAATACCACAATAGCAGCCAGGATACACTGTGCAAATCAAAAGAATAACATCTATTATTTTGTTATTTTTTTGTTTGTAGCCACAAACAGATACCCATGACAACCTGCTTGAAGTTCAAATCTTATCATAGCTTTATTTCCATCATTAGACATTAGGCAGAAGCTCTTCCCTGTGAGGGTGCTGAGGTGCTGGCACAGGGTGCCCAGAGAAGCTGTGGCTGCCCCATCCCTGGCAGTGTTCAAGGCCAGGTTGGACACAGGGGCTTGGCGCAAGCTGCTCTAGTGGAAGGGGTCCCTGCCTGTGGCAGGGGGTGGAGCTGGATGAGCTTTAAGGTCCCTCCCAATCCAAACCATTCTATGGTTCTATGAGTCTATGATTTTATGATTCTGTGATCCTCTTGCAATTAAAAACATTCCTCCAGCAGATCTATCATAGCTGACACTTATGTATAACATTCCTCTGATCTGCAAACCAACTTGAAACCAACATATAATGATTTCACAATTATTTCTGCCAATACAACTTGGACTTCCTCTTGCAATGCTCTGTGTAGTTTCCATTACTGAGTACTTCTGCAGCACTAGGAGAAAGGCCAACACTATCTGCAGCATTGCGAGTTGCTGTTTCAAAGAATGGTTTCAATTTGCACAGGCAGTTCATGGCCAGATTTAAGAAGTTGTCTGACACCATTTGTTGAAACAGACTCTTAGCAAAGAGGAGGAGACTGAAGGGAAGTAGATGGTTAAATTCTGTTTTATCAACTGGTTTTGGGAAAGGGATTTATTTTCCCATCTTACAAGGAGGCCAGGAAAAAAATGTCAGGAATTGGTTCCCTAAGAAAACTTACTGAATAAAAGGAAAGTCTAGATAAAAATATAAGGGGAAAGTGGAAAACTGAGTACAGTCAATAATCCACAATAACAAAATGTTTATGTGTATTGCACTGGCAGTGCAAAATCCACAGAAGGCAGTTTAAGACTCCATGGTTTTAAAATAAACCTCAAAGACTGAGATAGAATCAGAGCTACTAAACCCAAATTTCCATTTGAAAAATTTTATTTACACTAAAGATTTTGAAGCACCCATCTTGGAACTGCTTATAGTGATGAATTTGTTACACAGATGTGCAAACACTTCAAGATGTGAAACTAGAAGTGAAACACAATGTTAAACTTACTGAGACTGGCAGTGAAATTGCAATGCAGTTTTAGGCCATGAAGCTCAGCTTGTACTGATTAGTGAGAGATGGGAGAGAGATGACATACCCATTACCTAAGATGCTGGGCTGCTGAAATTTAGGAGTGTTTAGAGTCATTGCTTTGGTTTGGCCTATCCCTGAAAATAATTTAACTCTAGAGCCTGATTAATCCTTAATGATCCACAAAAATCTTCATATTACGCTTAGAAAAACCTTCATTATATGCCTAAAAGTAAGTAGGCTGCTGCTGGAACTACTTCAGGTTCACTTACATTAGGTATCATCTGGAAAAAGTGTCCTAGCTTCAGCGCAATCACCAGCATCACACATGCTCCAATCGCTGCTGCTAACTGAACAGAAATCCCACATCAGACAGGCCTGGCGGAATCATTTACTTCCTTGTAAGTAAAGTCTGAAAACCCAACTCACCTGTGTCCTTCCACCTGTCCTCTCCTGAATGACAGTTCCAGAAATAGTACAGCTAACAACAAAGCTTTTGAAAAATGAGCTGCAGATATTGCATAGCCCCACAGCTATGAGCTCCTGTAAAACAGACACAGAAGGAAGCACAGCAAACCCCAAACAAGTGACTTACCTTCATAGAAGTAGCTTATCAGGAATGCCTTTCCTTCTGCTCACGCTTACTGGTTGCTCATTTGTGCTGCTAAGCTCATTAAACCTTCTGGAAAGCAGGGCTAAAGGACCTCTCTTAAAACACAGCTGAGTGTTGCGTGGGCCAAACAATTCAGTTCCTCTTTTCAAAGAAACCCACCTAGAACCCCAAAGCTATGAAGCACTGACTTTTGAGCTGCCAAATGGCAAATCTCAGTATGCAGCATAGTGCACCTGGAGAAAAGCTGAGTGGAGAAGACATTCCCTTTGCATTTATCCCCAGAGGCTTTGGGAACTCAGGTCAGCTTCCTTACTGGCTTAGTTCCATTCTAGTAAAGATCCAATGCCATCATAACAAGCTAAACATGCAAAACACCTAATGCTAACTCTAGCACACTGGAAGCTAACATGGTTTTAGCTTAAAAGCCTCTCAATCACTAAGCAGAGAATCCATATACTGGGATAGCAGCCACATACAGAGAACAACTACAGCTGCTCTGGCCATTTACAATTCCAGCTATTATGCTTTTACAGTCTCATGGATTCGTGAGAGCAATGGTCCTCCATGGTCAGTTACAGTACTACATGTGCATGAGATTCATCCCAATCCCTGTGAATATACAACAGCCTCTTGGTCAAAGGCAGCTGTGTTTTTGCCTTCATATTATTGGCTTACAACATCCACTTTCCATAGGAAAGGGTAACAAGTTGTTACAAAACCATCATCTGGCATATCCATTTGCATTTCTACCACTGTCAGGTAGTTAGTGGCTTTGCAAATCAAATTCAGCTTGTTTCTTCTCCTAGGAAATTTACGTGTAGTTGTGTTCTCACCTGATTGCTGGCGATATGGTAGCTGTGAAGTGAAGCATACTTCTCCCCAACAAAAACAAGGAGGAAATAGCTTACAATAGCAATGGAGAAGGCATGTAGTATGACCTTGTTCAGGTTTGATACATCTGGCACTGCAGGAGGCAGAAACCTGCAGAATCAGAAAACAGATGAGTTTAGACCTGAGCTCTGTCCACAGTAACTCCAAATCCAGGATCACCATCACAAGCACCCTGCACCCCACACAAGATGCTCTCAGTCTGTAAGACTTGTACCTCACACAAAATGCAAATTCCTTCCTCTGTGTGCTAGACAAAACCTGAACCTAATGCAGAAAAATGTTGATTGAATTCTACATATGCTTGGAAATGCTGATGCAGTTAAAACTTTTGAAGAGCTATTCCTTTAGTTGTATGTGCCAGTAAAATCAACCCATGTCAGATTTCAACAACAGGCTGAAACATCTATGATCTCTTTCTTATCTCAAAAGTACAACCTCATAAACAGCAAGATAACTAACCTCTGAGGAATCATACTGATCACAGCATTATTAGATTCAGCGTGAAGACGAATGCAATTAGAAATAATGGTGACTGTGATAATCTGGGAAAGAAAACAAGAAACAATACCAGAGATTAGACAGCATTTGCTCATGAAGCTGTACGCAATCTCTGAAAAGTAGTTAATTCCGTAGAGGTATTTAAAGGACTTCAGCACAGATTTGGTGTGCAAGGAATATGTGAAATGTTTTGTGAAATGAAGTATATTATATGCTCTGTTAGTTGTGTTATTTCAGTGGCATTCTGAAGATCACTTACCAAGAGAAGCTCCATAGGAAATGCCATAAGACTACGTTTATAAACTATCCTGAGTGATGCGGTGACTTGTAGTACAGCCATGCTAAGCAAAAATAGCAATATGCTGGTGGCATTAGCCTTTGGGATAGCCAGGAAGAAATGATATAGATTCTGAAAAAGAACCATCACAGAGCGGATCAGAGCAGATACTACAACTATGTTTATACTGCAGGAGGTTGACATAGGCTGCCCTGACACTTGAACTCATCCTCTCTGATAACCGTGGGATCTTCAGTTAGAAAAAGAGAGATGCTAAGAGCATAAAAGCGTTAAAAATGAAATCTATCTTGTCTATCTGCAGATACAGATTTGCACAAATAGCTCAGATCTACTACTGTCATTCTCTCTTCTACACAACCTTCCTGTCAAGCTGATTGACATTATTAAAGTAAATGAGAATGAATTAGCTTTAACTTGTCTTTAGCTCAGAGTCTGCTGCTTTCTTGTCAGAAAGATACTGTGTGCCCAACAGCTTGCCCATGATCATCTATTGAGGAAAAAAGTACCTTTTCCTCTAACCTTTGCCTTTCTACAATTATAGAGGTGCTGAAAATACATTCTAAAGCTATGTAAGTAATTAAAATATGCACACAGCCTTTTCTTCTTGCATCTCACACAATAGGCTCCCTATATAGTTCAAGCCCCCGGGAAGGTGAAGTAAACCACAGCTGAGCCTGGCACAAATATCCCTTAACAACTAAATTAGAATGGAGTTGCCTTCCATTTCTGAAGCTATTCTTTTCTTTCCCTTCCAAGAAACATTCATTTCTTTGACTAATAATGAATTGACTCACACAGAAAATGTCCAGGGGCCTTGCAGGGATGTCAAGCACGATGTCAAAAATAAAGGTAAGCTGTGCTACAATGACATGCACTGCTGCTGCAGTGAGGCAAGCATTGATGAGAGTCTTCGGCATGTATGTTTTTATGAGCCCCAGGCAACAACAGCCCAGCAGCAACTGCATGGAACAAATGAGAAGCGAGATGTGATATAATTCTCAATGTTTAAACCCACTCTTCTTGTTTTCATGTGACTCTTCACTGCCACACATGATGGACAGTTATTTGAACACACCATTTTCATTACGCACAATTAAGTAAGACACTGCCAAACCAAAGCAGGAGCAGTTCACATCAAGTGTGTGAAGTTATGGAGGACTACATAAGCATCCACATATTGCAGAGCACATGAATCTTAAACCCACCATTTCTTTTCCACACAGCATGACAGGAAGAGACAGATCTTCCTGTCCCACTTTGAAATATGCTGAGCTCAGTCTTTGTGGTACAAATACACAAGCAGTTCCAATCCTTCCATTTGTATGAAGAATGCACATAAGGATACATCAATTAAGGATATAAAATAGATTCTTCCTCTACCTGAATGATGCCAGTCAAAAATGTTACTGATGCACTAAGTGTCAAGGCCTGAGAAGGGTCTGAGTAGTTGTCTGGTGAACTATTAGAGGACAAGGTTTGGTTGAAATTAAGAGTCTTCAGAATGTTTGTTGCTGCCATATTTAGGATGCTGAATGAGCCTGGAACCAACAGAACAGAACAGAAAATGGAACTGCATGACATGTTGCAACAAAGCTTTATCTTAAACCCACAGAACCATCTCTTCCCTCCACCATATGCCTGTGCAGTATGAGACAGTCTATTCTCATTCATATATATATATTCCAAATATGTATCATTAATTTTTACTGTTTCTGAGTAAGTACCTAAAGTTTTCAAAGTCCTGTCTGAAAATTCGAGATTCCTACCATTATACAAATGACATCTTCACTTTGTCAGATGCACAACAAGAAGATTTTAATGTAAAGTATAAAAAATTGAGCTGCCTGGAAGAGTGAAAAAGAGAGAAAGATCTGCAACATTATCTAAGAGGCCACAGCTCCACATAAGCACATAGTACGGTAACATGAAAGGCCTTCTCACAAATAATAGCGTTTTAATAAACTAGCTTCTGAACAAATCAAGAGTTCTGTCATGTCAAGAACTGCATGTAGAAGCCCAGAAGCCAAATCATTATTCACATCCTGGGGGTAAATGTGAAGAAGCTTCCACTGGTCCTTTATGTAGGAGCTGTGTATGTGACACTCCAGCATCTCCCTTGCACTGGTGTGAGTGACACAGGAGCTAACACATCCTCAGAGGTACAAAGGACCTCACAGCTGAAGCATGACTGACTTGGTGGAATTCTCACTACAGATGAGCTGCAGAAGTGGAACAACAATGAACTGAGAATCTTGGGGCCTGGATTCTCACCTCACCTAAACAGCATCCGCCTCTTACATGATACAGATAGGGTATCTCACCTGCTTTTTGAAGCAGCACGGAATATAGTCTCCAAGTCCTGTAGAAACATTTCATAGTACAAAACAAAACAAAACTCACCAATTGAGATATGATGTGAAGTCCCAAATATAACATACGTTATGGAGCAGCAGAACGCGGAAAGGAAGCCATTGGTATTTGGCAGAGGTAACCTGGTCAGCCAAATTCCCAGAAGCCCTGGAAAGCAAAGATCTGTTTCTAAAATCAAGTACATTGGGAAGGTGCTCTATCTTTGGTTACTATTTTAAAGGAAAGTTTTGCTGATAAAAACCTGACAACCTTTACAAAAATCCCAGTTCAGGACCTGATAAAGCCAGGACAGTTAGTGACAACAGCTATTGTCTTACAACACGGCCCTTGCTAACTAGAAATCACAGAAGGGACACCTTCCACTAGAGCAGCTTGCTCCAAGCCCTGTGCAACCTGGCCTTGAACACTGCCAGGGATGGGGCAGCCACAGCTTCTCTGGGCAACCACTCTTCATTTAGGCCACCTATTAGCAGGGGACTGTGCATGTGAGTATCTAACAGACCTGATTTTGCAAGGCAGATTTTAAAGACTGTGTTATTTTGTGTGAAGTATAGGAAAATGCTGCTATTAGTTTGTATTTTGAGTAGTGTCCTGTCCTTGAAATGACACCATGTAATGTCTGATTATAGAAAAGAAGATCTGCAAATATGCAAATAAAGAGGTTAATGATTTAAGGAACTTCCCGTGCAACCTGATGATGTTAGATAGAACAGAAGCACACACAGAAGATAGATTATGAAAAGCATGATATACCAAAGGAAACTAGTGTGTTTTTTTTTTCTCTGCCTACCTTGAGGAATCTGAAACATCCCAACACTTAGGCCTGCATGTAGATCCCTCATGATCCATTCTCTGAATCGATAGGAAAACAGCCAGTTCAGGATAGGGAACATCATGAGTATCATCTTTCTGAACCTTCTCCAAGAGAATCTGAAAAGACCCAGGTAACCTAAGCCACAGGCAATGTCTTTTACAGTCTCTGCAGTGCTTTTGCACAGGCTCACGCTCTGCACAGAAGCCACACAGCTGTGGTAGCTCTCTGCAGGCACGGTGTCCTGTGAACCACATAGGCATCAGCCTCCCATGAATCCAGCTGGCACCCAACATGGATCCTACACAGGCACCCCCCTGCTTTTGCATGCCATTCAGATGAACTGCAAATACTCTCATGTGCATTCATATGACAGTCTGTCAGCACTGAATGTATCAATTACTTGACCTCATTAACACCACAGACAAATAGGAGATGGTGTTTTGATTCCTCCTGTCCTGATCTGGAAGAAAAGCATATAAACACCACATCGGGGGTGGCAAAAAACCTACCCCATCTCCAAAAAACCAGTTAAATGTTTCTTGTATGACATGATTGACTAACGGGATGGAAGCAGGACTTGGCCTATGTGATTTAGTTTGTGGATATGGTTTTGAATCAGAATTTCCAGTAGGTAAACTGACTAACCCCATGACCCCATGCTCCTTCTTCCCCTTTTCAATCCCTTGGCAATGTTTGTGATTTTTTATTTACAACCCAAATATAAGTGATGTAGCGTCTGCCCAAGGCTCCTGGCTGCCTTGTGCAGTGGCTGTGGGGACTGAACCCAGGCGACATCACTTTGTTGTCAAAGGTGACTACGCACCAGGCTGACAAGCAGATACAAAATGGAGAACAGAGGAAACACACAAGATAGGGAAGTGGAAAAGAAACAGGGAAAAGAGTATGAGGTAGCAAGGCAGACCCAGTTCTTCAATGACAAGTTGCAGGAGAGAATAAAGAGATTTTCTTATTTAGCATTGAGTGCAATGATAAAAGTTTCCAATAATATTAGCTGTGACTTTAGAGCAAAATTCTCCCTCTGATAGCTGGGCAAGACTTATTTTATTGCACCAGGTGTTTCTGGGTGGACAGACTTTTAATTCTAGACCACATGTCGTAATTCTAAACAATTCAACCTTTTTGACCAAGTCATTTTATTTCTCTGACTCTTTTTTTTTTTTGTATTTAAAGACAGCACTGGAACAGAAGGCTATTGCACAACTTGAAGAATCTCACTATTACAGAGATTAATCTAGATGACAAGTCTTCCTGGTAAGTGAAAAGTAGAAAACACAATAGCAACTCAAACCATGGCTCCATTTGCCTTCACTTATCACCAGGAAATTACTTTACAGCAGTGTAAATCAGACATGACCCACAGTTTTAGGCTGCAGTCCCACATGGAGCTGAGCTGATGTAAGAGCTAGTTATACGGAAAGAGAGAGGTCTGGCTCTCCTACCTTCCTTTCCCTGTGTGGTCCTGTCCCCTCTGGTATAGCAAGCTGATAGATTAGCTCACTACACCTTGTGGAACCTCACCCATAGTAGACTTGAGTCTCAAGTCCTGCCAGGGTCTCAAGACAGTTTAATTTTCAGTGTATGTTCAGTGTAAATGCTGAAACAAAGTCCAGATAAATGATGAATCAGAGATTTTGTATTTACTTTCTTAGGAGGACTGTGTGGAGTAGATATAGCCATAACCATTGACAGTCCACTCTGGATACAAAAAGTGACTCAGAAAGAAAACTGAGATACTTGTTGTCATAGAATCCCAGACTAGTTTGTGTTGGAAGGGACCTTAAGGTTCATCCAGCTCCAACCCCTGCCCACGGGCAGGGACCCCTTCCTAGATCAGCTTGCTCCAAGCCCCTGTGTCCAACCTGGCCTTGAACACTGCCAGGGATGGGGCAGCCACAGCTTCTCTGGGCACCCTGTGCCAGCGCCTCAGCACCCTCACAGGGAAGAGCTTCTGCCTAAGAGCTCATCTCAGTCTCCCCTCTGGCAGGTTAAAGCCATTCCCCTTGGCCTGTCCCTCCAGGCCCTTGTCCCAAGCCCCTCTCCAGGTTTCCTGCAGCCCCTTTAGGCACTGGAGCTGTTCTCAGGTCTCCCCTTCAGGAGCCTTCTCTTCTCCAGGCTGACCCAGCCCAGCTCTCTCAGCCTGGCTCCAGAGCAGAGCTGCTCCAGCCCTCGCAGCATCTCCATGGCCTCCTCTGGCCTCACTCCAACAGCTCCACGTCTCTTGTGTGCTGCTGCCCCAGAGCTGGATCAGGACTGCAAGGGGGGTCTCCCCAGTACACAGCAGAGGGGTAGAATCCCCTCCTACGTCAAACTAAACTAAAGGGGAAGGTGATGAATGGGCATCCTATTTTTTATTATATTTCCTTTGCTGGTTGAACATCAGGAATTCTCCTCTGCTGCCAACAAAGCAGCACAGGAGTCTCACTGCCAAGTGGAGTTGCAGGCTACATTCTGGTGAGTCTGCAGGACTTCTATGGCAGAAGAGATGCTTCTATTACCAGTAAAATGCCCAAAAGAGAATTGTGTCAGATAGAAAGATGAGGCTGTGGAAGCTTTAATGCCTTATCAGTACCTTGGCCTCACCCACTCTCCTCAAGAAACACAAGAACATAGCTCCAAAATAATGAAAAGCAGTTCAGTCAATCTCAATCATACCATGGTGCAACCTTCCATGTCCTCAGCTAAGAGGGAACCGAAAAAGGCTCTTGAAATGTAAGAAGTATTAAAAGGCATAAATCAGAAAACAGCAAATGAAAGCCTGTGTCTGACAGAAGCAATGGATACAACTACAACTGCTGGCAGTTTCTCTTTACACTTCATCTATCCTTCTCTGTCATAATCCCGAAGTGAACAGATGCTTTTGCAGATTGCAAAGACCACCTTTGGTAGTGCAGCAGTCTTGCATGCTTCAGGTGGAAGCTGCTGTAATTGGGTGTTCTGCTTTGGTTACCAATCAGTGCAGTTCAGCATTTTAGTTAGCATCTTTTTTTTACACTTGAGCTTGAAGATTCTCCTTGGTTTCTTTACCCCTGATAAAAACCTAGCATTGAACTCACCTGCAATACAGCCGTCTGTTCTTTCCTGAGATTTGTAGGTCTCTCCCCAAGGCAGAGGGCACTTCTCTTTCATAGTATGCCTGCAAGTGTTCCTCAGTCTGTATTTCTCTTTGGACCCTGTAAGCTGCTGGTTGCCTGCCAGTGCCCATGGTGTTGTTGAGCGCCATGGTTTCCTTCTGACCAGAGTCAGGCACATACAGAGGAACAGCAAACGCTGGAGACCACCAGAAACACCTTCTTGGCACTGAGACTGGAAGAAAGAAACAGGATCACTGATGAAGTATCTACTAAACCCAAACCAAAAAGTGTAAGTTTTTGCCCAAAGTAAGTCCTGTGAAGCCAGTAGTTACAGCAGGGATAAGCAAGGCTCTGGAGACTGAAATCCATGAAAGACATGCTGCTCTTGGGATCAAACAAATCAGTTGCCAAATCAGTTGTAGGAATACCGGGTCCTTCTAGAACTTGTCTTGTTCTTATTTGTCTTGTTCCTACTTTTCCTAGGGAAAAGCAGCACCCCTCTGTTTTGTGATCCCAAAAGCAGGGCTGTGTTTAGGGAACTAAATACAGTCACTCTCCATAAACTTATCACAGCTGAGGAAACAGTTTGAATTCTCCTTGTTTCCAATCTTGGGGAAAAAAAGGTTGAGTCTGAATCATACAGAGAGCAGCTAAATCTGTGGCTGTTAAAATGCCACAACTTGCTGTATAAAACTGGTATCTGATACCATTCAGCTTTTTAAATCCTGAAAATGACTGACTTGCATTCCTTAGAATTTTAGCACCAGGAAGGAGATCTGAATTCAATCACTGTCTCTCAGAATAGGTAAGTTGTGTGTTCCCAAAGTGAATACTGAGTAAAGTAAAAGGCCGGTGCAAGAGCAGATCCAAGATGAAGTTCTCATACCAACAGCTGAGGCAGAAAATAAATTCAAATCCAGAGCTACCAAGTAAAAGTGAATTTAAGAAGGGTGGTGACATGTAGCAACATACTTTTTGCTATGGGCAGAACTAAGAAAGAGGAAATATGAAAAGTCTGCAAGTAGGCAGTTGAAACTCTACTCAGAATGCAGTTTAAGTTTCGAGTAAAAATACTATAGAATCATACAATGGTTTGGGCTGGAAAGGAACTTAAGATCATCCAAGTCCAACCCCTGCCATGGGCAGGGACACCTTCCACTAGAGCAGCTTGCTCCAAGCCCCTGTGTCCAACCTGCCCTTGAACACTGCCAGGGATGGGGCAGCCACAGCTTCTCTGGGCACCCTGTGCCAGCGCCTCAGCACCCTCACAGGGAAGAACTTGTGGCTAAGTCCTAACCTGAACTTGCCCTGTTTCAGTTTGAACCCATCACCCCCTGTCCTATCACTGCACTCCCTGATGAAGAGTCCCTCTCCAGCATCCTTGGAGCCCCCTTCAGACACTGGAAGCTGCTCTGAGGTCTCCATGCAGCTTCTCTTCTCCAGACTGAACAGCCCCAATATTCTCAGCCTATCTCCACATGGGCGGTGCTCCAGCCTCTGATCATCCTCATGGCCTCTTCTGGGATCATCCTCATGGCCTCTTCTGGCCTTGCTCCAAGAGGTCCATGTCTTTCTTATGTTGGGGACACCAGAATTGCACACAGTGCTGCAAGTGGGGTCTCATGAGAGTAAAGGGGCAGGATTACCTCCTTTGACCTTCTGGTCATGCCAACCCAGGATATGGTTGGCAAATCATTGGGATTTAAGTTTTCTCCTCATCTTTAATTTCCTGACCCACCAGGATCAGTTTTTATAGGTCTAATGCTTTGCATCACTGAGATCTGCTACTTCTGATCCAGCAACTCAGTGTAGTATTTACTGTCTTGTGAGACATCCACCAACACATACACAAGTCCCAGTCATTCTAAACCACAGAGATTTAGTAGTAGGCAAGTCTCAAACACCTTCCCTAGGGCACAGCTTCTCCCTCATTTTAAAGAGGAGATAAATCAATGTCTTTCACAGATGAATTTAAGAGCCATTTCTTTCATTAGCTTTTTATAACCAGTCCACACATTTGAAGCCTGAGCTGACATCTTTGAGCACCATCTCCTCTTTTCAAGGCTAGGTAATCAAGAAGCAAAATTAACAAGATGCTAGAGTTGGCAAAGTGAAGGTATTGAAAAGGCACACCAAGAAGTAGTTCTTTGTTAGATGCAAGCAGTGGTAATGTACAGTTTTTCACTCCTGTTATTTGCACTTCAGTGATGGCTCGCAGCAGCAGAGGACAGGGTCCCACATTATTATGCTGCACAGAGAAGGGTTTTGCTGTGGAAAAATGTTTTTAAAACAGAATACGTTTGTCCTGCACAGGACTGCAAATGAGACTCATCTTCTTCAAACTTGAGGTCAAAAGCAATATTTCCTTAAACACAAATCCCTATTTGCTGTGATATTCCTGGCCTGTACAATCACCAGTGCGGCAACAGGGCCAGGGCAGGGATTGTGCCCCTGCGCTGGGCACTGGTGAGGCCGCACCTCGAATCCTGTGTTCAGCTCTGGGCCCCTCACTGCAGGAGAGACATTGAGGTGCTGGAGCGGGGCCAGAGAAGGGCAGCGGAGCTGGTGCAGGGCCTGGAGCACAAGTGTGATGGGGAAGGGCTGAGGGACCTGGGGGGTTCAGGCTGGAGAAGAGAAGGCTCAGGGGGGACCTGATGGCTGCCTACAAGTGCCTGAGAGGAGGATGGAGCCAGGAGGGGCTGGGCTCTGCTCCCAGGGAACAAGGGATGGGACAAGAGGAAACGGCCTCAAGCTGCCCCAGGGCAGATTTAGATGGAGCTGAGGAACAATTCCTGCCCCAGAGGGTGCTCAGGCATTGGAACAGGCTGCCCAGGGTAGGGCTGCAGTCACCGTCCCTGCAAGTGTTCACACAGCGTGGAGACGAGGCCTCAGTGCCCTGGGTTAGTGGTGGCCTTGGCAGTGCTGGGCAGTGGTTGGACTGGATGAGAGTAAAGGGCTTTCCCAGCCTGATTCATTCTATGATTCTGTACTTACAACCTGGTGAAGACACAATGGGCTCCAGTCAAAAACATGCTTAACCTGTAGCACTTGACTTCATGAAGTCTTAAGCATGTACTTGAAAGCAAGCACATACCTCTCTTTGATACTGCAAGGCCTACCACAGTATCGTCTATTCTCGAAACACACACAGGAAGATCAGGGCAATCTGGGCAGGGAGATCGTCACTCGCCCCATTTCACCGGGCTTCCAGCCACTGGAATGGAACAAAGCGTCCACAGGAAGAGCTTGTAAGACTTTATAAGCAGTAGAGCTGCAATTACCCTGATTGACACGGGGCGGGCTGCTGCTCTGCAGGAACACCGGCAGGTCACCCTGCGCCTCAGAAGGGTTTACCTATGTTCCTTCGTTTTGCTTAATGAAAGCACAGCCTGCAGGGACACTGCGCAGGAGAGCCAGGCAGGGCTCGAGCACGGGAGAAAGAGGGGCTCCAATTCCCGAATTACCGCTTCATCGCACCGGAAAACGTTTCCGCGAGGCCCACCCCCACCCGGCAAACCGCTCACACAGGCTCTGCCCCAGGCCCCACCCCTCCGCCTGGGCCACGCGCCCTTATAGACCACGCCTTCCGCCCCGTTCTCGCGAGAGGCCGCCGCGCTGGTTCCATATTGGGTCATCTCTGCGCTGGGTGCCTCAGCTCTCGCGAGAGTTGTCGTGACAGGCGGTTGTGCCTCGCTGTCGCGCGGGGGGGGCAGTGTGTGTTTGTTTGTGTTTGTGTGTGTGTGTGTTTGTGTGTGTGTGTGTTTGTGTGTGTTTGTGTGTGTGTGTGTGTGTGTGTGTGTGTGTGTGTGTGTGTGTGTGTGTGTGTGTGTGTGTGTCGGGGGGGGCGGTCGGTGTCCCCGGCCCAGCCCGGGTTGGGCTGCGCTGCTCGGGGCGGAGCGGCGGTAGTTGAGGGGAGCTCCGTGCTCCCTCCCGCCGCAGTGCCCTGCCTCAGCTCACCTCCCGGGGTTATCCCGCCCCTCGCTGGTCGGGGGGAGGGACGGAGGGAGCCGGTCGAGCGGGGCGGGGGAAGGCGGAGTCAGGCGCTCCGCTGTCACCGCGCCCGCCCCTGAGGTGAGGTGAAGGCGGGAGCGGGCAGCGCAAGCGGCCGCGCCAGGCGAGGGGGCGCGCGCGCGCGAGCGGGCGTGAGGGGACGGCGACGGCGACGGCGGCGGGGCGGGCGGTGCTGGTGCGGGGCCGCCCCCGCCCGCTGGAGGAGCGAGGTGGGGAGAGGAGAAGAGGAAAGAAGGAAGAAGTTGGTGCTGCTGCTGGGGGAGGTGGCGGCACGGCAGCGGTGGGGGGGTGGTGGTGCTGGTGGTGCTGCTGCAGCCGCGGGCAGAGCCTTCCCCTCCCGCCGGGCCGGGCGGGGCGGGCTTCGGAGCAGAGATGTCTCAGGAGCGGCCCAAGTTTTACCGGCAGGAGCTGAACAAGACGGTGTGGGAGGTGCCCGAGCGCTACCAGAACCTTTCCCCCGTCGGCTCCGGGGCCTACGGTTCCGTGTGGTGAGTGCTGGGAGGGGGACTGGGGGTGGTGGTGGTGTGTGTGTGTATGCGGCGGGGGCTCCCTCGGCCTCCGCGGTCTCCTATTAGTCCGCAAGGTTTTTACCAGCAAGAAGCGCTGCTCCTCCCGATCTGGGAGCGGTGCTGCCGGGAAGCCGCAGTCTTGGTCTTTGGAATGCGGCGGGGATTGCACCACATGGCAGGTGGCACTAAAACATTTTTGCAGGGGAAGATAATCGTGTTCCAACCCTTCCCCCCCCAGTGATCTCATATGGACATATTTCACCGAGCTTCCTTGCAGTTCGTAGGTGGGGGGTGGAGAGGGATGGAGACTGGCAAGTCCCTCTGCAGAGCTGAGGGCCTGGCAGCTCTTGTCCCTGTGCCTTTCTGGACCTGAAGAATAGATTATATTTGAGACAATTGTATTTTTAATCTGTTGATGGGCAGGGAAAGTAGAGGGAAGGCTAAGAGAGCTGTTTTTGCATCCCTGCCTTGTTTACCAGTATCGACGTTTTCTTGCAATGTAGATCAACAGAGGAAAACTCGTTTTATTGCTATAGAATGACAGAATTACTGCAGTATGCACTGCCTGGGAGAGTAAAGTCCTTGTATGAGAGCTGCAGAGATACAGAGAGCTTGAAGATAAGAGTTTCGTTTTTAATGTTTCAGGAGCAGAGCATCTGACTGGTTACACATGCGAAATACAGCACTGACTTAATATGTAGTTTCTCTGCTGAAGTATGTTGGATCATTAAACATAAATTAAGTGGATTGCATGCATCGTTTAATCTTAAAGACAGGGTTGTATTTGAATCAGTTTGATGTCTGGACTTCAGCAGTCACGTAGTACAAACGTGTTCACAGTATAAATAGGAAATGTTTTCCACATGAACATTCTGGTTTTTATTCTTTGGCTCTCTCTAGGTGTGATCTCAATTTTCAAATCTGTGTGCATCATGATTGCTGCTAGATTTGAGCAGGCATGCATATTTCTTGGCATAACATGCAAATTCGTATTATGAATATCATGTTCCATGCTAAGGAGGGATGCATGCTGCAGTCTGCTAGTAAAGTAAAAGGAGCTGTTTTGCATGTGCTGCAGTTTTAAAAAAAAAAACATGTTCTCAGCTGTTCTTACCAGCAATTTTATAGCGGTAGGTGAAGTTCAGCTTAAGTAACAGGCATTTCTTAAAGCTGCTATGCCTCAAGTATGCAAATGCTTGTATTTCATGACAAAGGCTGGTCAAGTCAAGTTGCAGGACTATCCACTGTAGTTCTGAGGTTTTTTACATAGAGGGGCTTAGTCTGGTGGAAATAACATTTGGGCCTCTCTGCCACAGCTGATAAATACCCTGTTAGTGCCGCAGAATGACACCACCCCCCAAATGTAATGGGAACTCAATTTGTGCCTTGCCTTGTCCATTGTATTTTGAAGGTTGCCCCTACACCTTCTAGCTCATTCCTCTTCTATTCCCTCCCCTCCTTTTCCCAATCTCCATTGTGCCTCTGATACTTACAAAGTTTGTTTTCACAACCAATAACTGGAGGCTTTGCATCATGAATTTCCTGTTTTGCTATGTCAAAATTTTCAAAGATTGTGCAACTGTGTTCAGAGCAGATGAAACAGTTCGGTGTTGGAAGCGATTCCAGTCATGTGGCACGAGTCTCTTTACATTCTGTGTTAATGGTTTTCTGTATGTTCTAAAAGTACGTTTCAGAAAAGATATAGTCCAGAAAGACTGGTGATGTGGACAGGGTGTCAGAATTAAATAAACCCCCTTGCATATATATGTATATCTTTTATTAAGCTGCAAATGATGATGTATTTAGGATATTCCTGCAGCGACTTGTCCTGCTCTCTGTCCCTTTGGAGATTTTTCTCCTCAGTAATAAGTTACCTGGTTTCATTTGCGACTTTGAGGTTGTCCCTCTGTGTTTGAATAGTAAATTGCAGGGTTTTAACTACCCTTAAACTGAATGTTTAAATATACTTCCATGTATGCCTACTGTATCATTATATTAGAGCAAATAAAATGTTCTGGGTTTCATTTAGTTGTCAAGATGAGGCATTTATAAATGAATTTGTAGAAGGGGGGAATTAATAAAAAATAATTAAACTAGCAGATAATAATTTAGACTATGGAGCTGTATGCTATACGCTGCTTCAAGTGTCTAGTGTGAGTGTGACTCGGAACACCCCAACACAAGAACCCGACTTTATTTTGCAGTCAGTGGCTGGAGAGAAGCACTTTCTAAAGGAAAATGGGCATGGAGCACCATGCTTAGAGCACATACCCCAGTGTTTTCTGAAGTATTATATGTAGTATCAGAAAAATGACATTCAAATGGCCAACTTGGGGGGGTTTCAGTACCTGTTTTTAAAAAAAACTGGAAGTATGTGGAGATGCAAGTAGGGATTCAGTTCCAAACCTTCAAGAAATACCGATATGTGTCCTCAGATTGATCATTACTAAGTCACGTAGCAGTCGCTGTGACATCTGTTGTGTGAAATGCTATTTCATTTATTCTTGCAACAATTTTGTATATTCATATAACATATCTTGCATGAAGAAGATTTTTGTAACCAGGTCTACGCTAAAAGACATGTGGGCTCCTGACATATCAGTCTTGTAATACTCCACATGAGGAGAGGGGTGTAGAGAATGCTTGTTTGTAGACTGTCGAGTTTTGTGGCCCTTCCAAAACCTGTGACTTCCTCCCATTTGGCCCACAGTTGTACCAACACCGACTGGATATCCTGGAGATTACAAAGATACTGAGATAGTTTCCCTGTTTTTAAACTAACATAGAAACATTATTGGTTTAAAAAATTTTGAAACATTAGGCTCCAGAGGAATCACAGAATCAACCAGGCTCGGAAAGATGTTTAAGCTCATCCAGTCCAACTGTTCCCCAGCACTGCCAAGGCTACCACTAACCCATGGCACTGAAGGCTTCGGCTACATGGTATGTGAACACTTGCAGGGCCAGTGACTCCAGCCCTCCCCTGGGCAGCCTGTTCCAATGCCTGAGCACCCTTTGGGGAAGGAATTGTTCCTAATCTGCAGTCTAAACCTCCTCTGGCACAGCTTTAGGCTGATTCCTCTCGTCCTGTCACTTTTTACTTCGAGAGGAAACCAGCCCCTACCTGACTACAATCTCCTGTCAGGCGGTCAGTCTCCTGTAGAGAGCAGTAGGGTCCCCCCTGAGACTTCTCCAGACTAAACTATCCCAGTTCCCTCAGCTGTTCCTCAAAATGAAAATTAAATGAAGTAACCACCCTAAATTCACCTTTGTTGTGCCTCCATGGACTTTTTGTTTCTTTTTACTAATGCACTTTAAGTTTACTAATCCCTTATCAAAAGTGTTCAGGTGCCTCCAGAGTATGTATGCACTCGGAGGTACAGGTGCCGGCTGCTCTAGTAAGGTGTGGTAGATAGGTGAGGAGTGATATGAAGAGGATATAAAAGTGAGTAGGATGAAGCAGCCTTACAGGTCGGATTAGCAGAACACGGGAGGGGGGAATTCCACAGGTGAGGAGCTCTGAAAGTGAAGGTAAGAAATGACATCACTGTGAGCACATCTGTCCTACAGAGATTTTTATCGCAACTTTCTGAGAAGCAGCAGCCAACAGAGTAGAGGAGAATGAGACTTACGACTTTTTATAGTGTTTTGTGAGGGAACCGACTGACATGCCCATGTAGACTGAACTCTGCAGCAGCAGGTGTTCATGATAAGCTGCCAAGTGGTTTTTTTCTGCCTGTAACTAGAGGTGCATAAGTAAATTCCAAAGGTACCACCAAAAAGGTTCAGTTGCCTTGGGTATTGGCATAGGTGCTGATGGTAAGCAGCATGCTGTTTGGTAAAAGTCTGCACAAAAATTAACGTTCTGATTATCAAATGTTTAAATAAATTGCTTTCTTTAATTTTGTGTGTACTTTAATTCCCCAGAGAACTTCAAATGTTACAGAAGTAACATTTAGAAGTTAGATGTTGAACCAGTGGATATATTCTCTAAAATAGCTGTTTTCTTCTAGCTCTTCTGTTCTGGATTCAGTTCAAGTTAGCTCAGAATGATACTTCTAGCTTGCTTAGGGTGAGGTGGATGCAGTTTGTGTGCCATAGCACAATACCATGCAATAAGTTAAAAAAAAATGATAAATGCAGAATTCCTGCTGATCTTGTTTTAAAAAGGATTTAAAACTGTGGCTCATGCATTTTGTTTCCTATCTGGGCTTTTTTTAGCTGAAACACCATCAGTGTAATGCAGCTGTTTTAAGTCTGTGATGAAAGTCAGCTTAATGTTCTTTTAAACCCTTCTCCAGCCTGACAGCTCTTCTGTAGTGTGTGTTCTACGCGTGAAAACATAAGGCAGTTATGTGTATCGGCAGAAAATTATTCAGCATGCCTTTATCTGCAGGGAAATAGTCTTTAGGCCTCAAATATGACTGAATGTAGAGTTCTTCTGACTTCAAGAGTAGCTTTAGGTTGTGAATGTACAGTAATAGAAAATTTTCTTTCCTGGGCTTGTGCATTATGTTGATTAAATGGTTTTATGTTGGTTAAATGGTTTCTCAGTACTGCCGATTGCATCTCTCGTTGGAAGTTGTATATCTACAGGGGAATGATGACTTGATATGGCCCCCAAAACGTCATTAAAAAGATGAAATTGAATTTCCTTTGGAGTCTGAAATAGCTGATGTTGGTGGCTCTCAATTCTGTTTTAAAGACAACCTGGTGGAAAATGAGAGAGGGATCTGACTGTGTAGCCATGAAGATGGTTAATATGAAGGGGATCCCCTTCTTTTCAAGATGAGAGGGATACTGGTGTATGCTGCCTTTGTACTCAAAACATTTGAAAACTGCTAAAGATACCTGATTAATTCCCAACAATGTGTTAAATTATGATGAGTAACCTTATTTTTGCTCTAAATCCTAGAAACCATCTTGATTATCATTAAAATACTGTAATACAATTGCAGCCTGAATTAGGGAAGTTTGTATATTGCAAAATGGTTTACTTCAAAAAAACCTGAATACCAATATTCTAGTGAGGTGTGAGAACTTGCTGGTTTGAAAACAATGTTAAAAAGTGAATCCTTAATATCTGCTTTTGTTCATCCAAGCCGAATGAGGGGATCTGGTGAGTGGAAATGGTCAGTAATGGGCATGATCTGGGGCAGTCAGTAATGGGCATATCCTTGGTGATCCTGTGATCTACTGTGTAGCTGTATGGCCATGGCTCTTCCCACTCGGTGTGTGAATGTGCCCCTTTACAGAGAGAGGAGGAGATGCTTTTCCTCCTGACTGCCCAGTGGGTTTTCCCACTCTTGCAAGATCTGGCAGGGGGAGATTGCTGTTGGTAGAAACAAACTTCTTATTTTGTTTTCTGTTTCTGATAAACCTCATCTAGCAAGTTCCATGGAAACTGAGCAGCTCTGAGATAAGGAGTGTCTTTGCAAGTTAATTCCAGTTAGTTGCTTTAAAAATAGATGACAACTACATGGGGGGGGGGGGGGGGAAGGGGGGAGAAGGAATATACATTTGTGAGTTTGTTCTGGGGTGATTGGGTTTGAACCTTCTGTTAGCTGAGCTGCTATGCACATTTATCTTAGAGGGATTTTCCAATCTAGTTGATTCTGTGGTTCTGTGCTTATCAAGAACTAGTGCATGCTCACTTTGAAATGGAGTTGGGAGTTTGCCCTAAATCAAACTGCAGCAGGAAAATAAACAAGTATTGTCCTTCTCTGACTTTCTCCAGTCCATGCTTTCCTCTTGTTTGTTACCTTGTATTGTATGACCTGGATTTCACATCCTCTCTTTCTCCTTCTCCTTCCTTTTTGATAAACCAGAGCTGTTTTAGGTAAGAACATCAAAGAAGAGACGAAAGAGGAGTAATTTGGTTCAGAGCTAAATAGCTTTACAGTTCTTTAGTTCCTCAAATATAAGCCCTGTGCTCAGGAAGATTTTATGCAATGTATCAGAAATTTAACATAATTCTTAATGTGTGAGATTCTTGTTTCAAACATATTAGGCTTCTGCTTCTTAATATTATAAAGAAGTTGTATAAGGACTTACTTCAAAAGGTGGTTTTACATTACAAAATACCAAGTGTATATATACATGTAAAATTACCAGATCGTATGGAGTTAGTCTTTGTGGATTCTAATAAGAAATATTATTTATATATGCAAAGTTTCTGCTAAAGGGACAAGCTTTGGTCATGTACAGCTTAATATGATTTGTTTGTATACATGTTTTTGGTAACAGGACTTGAATTTTACATGTGATTTACCGAAGAAATGTGACTTCAGCTTCAAATGTGATTAACCATCACGGTTGATTTTTATTAGGCACATACCTTGGATTTTTATATGGACTTTAAATCATAAAAGTATTTTGAGCGCAGCATTTTGTGAAGAAGTGTGGTCTATGAAAATGTGTTCAGGAATACAGTTAATATTTAACAATATTTCCCTTTACTGTGTGAACAAGACTCATCTTCTATACATTTGCTGTAGAAACCAACAGTTGTGTCAGTATGTGGGGGTTTGGGGTGGGGGCATGGATTGTGGACCAGGATCTCTAGAAGTTAGTTTCATTGCAGGGATGAAGAAATGCTGTTGACTGTGGTTTAGTGTCCCAGGTAGCTGCTGTCTGGAGTTGTCAAATGTGGATTTGAAGGTGTTTATTAAAAAATGATTTTGCTAATTTGATTTCACTTTGTCATAGCTCTGCCTTTGACACAAAAACGGGATTGCGTGTGGCTGTAAAGAAGCTGTCCCGACCATTTCAGTCTATCATCCATGCCAAGAGGACCTACCGAGAGCTGCGGCTGCTTAAGCACATGAAACATGAAAATGTAAGTTGAAGGAGTAAAAGTGAAGTATGAAAAAGTGGCCTGAAGTTGGACTGTCCAGAGAGCATCCATTGGGATTGGATGTTTGGATATTGGTCTAGTGTGAGGCATCCCTACCCATTAAAAGGGAGGGTCAGAACTTGATGATCTTTAAGGTCCTTTCCTACCCAAACCGTTCTATGATTCTGTGCTTTTCTCCTAATGCTAAATACAAGGCTTTTGGTGGTCCAGGGATAGCTGTGGAAAAGCACATAGATAAAAAGAAAAACCCAAACCCAATAAATACATAACCAGTATCTTAAATACATAACCAAACTAGTATTTCCTAGAATGATCTGGAAATTGCTGCTTCGCAGGTACATGCTGTCTTTAGGTTTTGGGACACAAGTGATATTTGGTTTGGCTTGCCTCTGTCAGGAGGATGTGGAGCAGATGATCACTATTTCTATAGGTAAAAGGAGGGGTGAGAATTGGATGGCTTATCATACGAGCCAGCCACTTAAATCATCAATAGGGAAAACAAATAGGATGTGACTAGTGTTATATTAAACTGTGTTTTGGTGTAACCCTAGTTTGGTGTAGAAAAAAGTTGGTTGACCAGTGCTGTGCGTTTGAGCCATTAACATACCGTCACATTTATTTTGCATGCTGTTTGGAGCAAATAGTTTCATAGCCTGCCCTCTGTAGAGCTGTCAGAATTCAAAAGGAAAGGAAGGTTCTTGATTTCTTTTGTCTGAGCAAACTCCAGCTTAGCAGAAGGGAAATACTGTTTTGGAAGTAAGCTGAGCAAGCCCAGGACCTTTATCTAGCACAGAAAGCCAAATGAGCCTGATTTCATTGGCAGGTTCTCCTTGAATGGTCTGTTCAGATCTCTTGTGGCAGTGGTGGCTGTACGTTGTGGCTTCAGAGCACTGCAGTCAGCAGCTCATTACCCCTAAATCTTCTTGACATTTTTAGTGTGACTGATATAATTGGAGGTTTTAATGCGTATTCCCACTATTGTCAACAGTTCTTCCTCAGCACCTCTGTGTGATACCCATGCCTCAACAGCAGAGGTAGCATTTGATCCTGCGTAATATCCACCTCCTGGAATTCTTCTGGACATTTTCTCATAGCTGATGAAAGCTTTTAATATCTGTGTCTATACAAAAAAAAAAAGAAACACCACCAACCAAGCAGCATATGAATCCATTTTTTCTAAGATAATAAGATTAAGCAATGAAAATGATATTGTGACTGGTGCTACAGAAGTTCTGTGTCTGACATAAGTTAATATTTTTGGATTAGTGCTGCTAAAAGCCTATGTAGCTTTAGGAGTGAGTGATAAAAGGAAGTTGTTTGTATATGGAAATATTTATTATCAGTTCATCGTACTGTCATCTGTCTCTGGGAAGTTTATCTAGCTTGTGGTTTAAAAATCCTGCAGTTGCAGAGATGTTCAGAGCTGGTTCAGGCAGGATCATCACTGCTGGTGTCTTGAATAGTCTCAATTTGGAAGTAAACTGCTTGGTTTTGCGTGGTACAGATGGCAGGGGCAAATCTGGAAGGTTCAGTGGGTTTTTAGGGGTAGATGAAGAGAACCCGTCTCTTCAGCTCATATATTCATAGAATAATATTTGCTATTAGGATGAGGAAAATAAGGTTTAAAAGCACATTTCAGTGAAAAATAAGAATAAAGTTTATCAACCAAATGGACATTTTTTTTCTAATGCTTGATCTAGAAGACAATTATGGGAAATATCTATCTAATAAGGTAGAGTTCTTTCCCACCGAGTAACACAAGCATATCCTTTTCCTCTCTGATACAGCAGGTTAGGTACATATTGAAAGGTCTTTCTGCTCTTTTGGCAGAAAATACAAGTGACACTGTCACAACTGTCAGCTGTGTGTGAAAATTGTGTGCTCATTGCATGGCTGTTTTCCTGACTCTTCCATTGTAGTTGTTATTATTCATTGCTTGTGTTATGGATCCTTGAATTTTTCTACCCGTTACTTTGGGACAAGTGAAACAAATCATAGAATCCCAGACTTCTTTGGGTTAGAAAGGAGCTTAAGATCATCCAGTTCCTACCCCCTGCCACAGGCAGGGACACCTTCCACTAGAGCAGCTTGCTCCAAGCCCCTGTGTCCAACCTGGCTTTGAACACTGCCAGGGATGGGGCAGCCACAGCTTCTCTGGGCACCCTGTGCCAGCGCCTCAGCACCCTCACAGGGAAGAGCTTCTGCCTAATATCTAACCTGAACATCCCCTGTTTTGAACCCATCACCCCTTGTCCTATCACTGCAGTCCCTGATGGATGCTCTCGTAATACTCTCCTAATTCTGATTTTAGCATGGAGTCAACAGTGTAACTAAGAACTTAGCAGGAAGTAGGCAGTTTTGTCTGGTGGTTTATTTTTGTTGTTTTCTCATCCATTTATTTCCTGAACAAAACTTTAGATGCTTTTTGAAGTAAGTTAATCTCAACCACTGTTTACACCTGCCTTTAGTTACAGCTCCCATTTGATGCTCTAATTGGGTGGTTGGTGTGAAAAGACAGCTGTATATTTTTAACCTGAACTATTCTTTTATGCAAGAATTGAACATTTGCTTCTGATCTTGTATAAATACTAATGTGTTTATATCTGAATAATTCATGTAGTTGGAAATGAAACAGCTACTGGAATGAGTGGCTTCTGTTCCACAAAGGATCTTGGTAACTGTATCATATTATACTATGAATGTATTTCCCAGCTTTTTCACTGTACTGTTTTCTTTCTAGGTGATTGGCTTGTTGGATGTGTTCACCCCTGCCAAGTCTCTAGAAGAATTCAATGATGTGTAGGTAACTTCTCTTAAAACTGCAACAAAACATTTTTTGTGTCTTCCTTGCTTTTCCCAGATAGAATCATAGAATAGTTAGGGTTGGAAAGGACCTTAAGATCATCCAGTTCTAACCCCCCTGCTATGGGCAGGGACACCTCACACTAAACCATGTCACCCAAGGCTTTGTCCAGTCTTTCCTTGAACATCGCCAGGGATGGAGCATTCACAACTTCCTTGGGCAACCCATTCCAGTGCCTCACCACCCTCACAGTAAAGAACTTCCTCCTTACATGCAATCTAAACTTCCCCTGTTTAAGTTTTAACCCATTACTCATTGTACTATCACTACAGTCCCTAATGAAGAGTCCCTCCCCAGCATCCTTATAGTCCCCCTTCAGATACTGGAAGGCTGCTATGAGGTCTCCAAGCAGCCTTCTCTTCTCCAGGCTGAACAGCCCCAACTTTCTCAGCCTGTCTTCATACGGGAGGTGCTCCAGCCCCCTGATCATCCTTGTGGCCCTTCTCTGGACTTGTTCCAACAGTTCCATGTCCTTTTTATGTTGAGGACACCAGAACTGCACACAATGCTCCAGGTGAGGTCTCACAAGAGCAGAGTAGAGGGGCAGGATCACCTCCTTCAACCTGCTGGTCACGCTCCTTTTGATGCAGCCCAGGATACGGTTGCTTTCTGGGCTGCAGACGCACACTGAAGCTGGCTCATGTTCATTTTCTCATCAACCAACACCCCCAAGTCCTTCTCCTTGGACTGCTCTGAATCTCTTCTCTGCCCAACCTGTAGTTGTGCCTGGGATTGCTCCGACCCAGGTGTAGGACCTTGCACTTGGCATGGTTAAACTCCATGAGGTTGGCATCAGCCCACCTCACAGGCGTGTCGAGGTCCCTCTGGATGGCATTCCTTCCCTCCAGCGTATCAACCGAACCACACAGCTCGGTGTCATCGGCCAACTTGCTGAGGGCGCACTCAATCCCACTGTCCATGTCAGCGACAAAGATGTTGAACAAGAGTGGTCCCAACACTGATCCCTGAGGGACACCACTCGTTGCTGGTCTCCAGCTGGACCTTGAGCCATTGACCGCAACTCTTTGCATGCCGCCATCCAGCCAGTTCTTTATCCACCGAGTGGTCCATCCATCAAATTGATGTCTCTCCAATTTAGAGACAAGGATGTTGTGTGGGACAGTGTCGAACGCTTTGCACAAGGCCAGGTAGATGATGTCAAGTGCTCTACCCCTGTCCATCAGTTTCGTAGCCCCATAGAAGGCCACCAAATTGGTCAGGCAGGATTTCCCCTTAGTGAAGCCATGCTGGCTGTCACCAAGCACCTTGTTGGTTTTCATGTGCCTTAGCATGCCTTCCAGGAGAACCTGCTCCAAGATTTTGCCAGGTGCAGAGGTGAGATTGACTGGTCTGTAATTCCATGGGTCATCCATTTTCCCCTTCTTGAAAATAGGGGTTATATTACCCTTTTTCTAGTCATTGGGAGCTTCACCTTCCTGCCATGATTTCTCAAATAATGGACAGTGGCTTAGCAACTTCATTCGCCAGCTCCTTCAGGACCCGCAGATGGATTTCATCAGGTCCCAGATGATTACACACGTATTTGCCACCTTAATTCATCTGCCACCATTCTTGAGCAATTCTGAATTCCAACACAAAAGATCCTGGAACATCCTAAACTACTGGACCCAACAGACTTGCTCACTTGTGTTTTATTGACCAGTGCTGTAGGAATCAGCCTCCTGATACATAGAGTTCATGACTGTATTTAGTGTCATGAGCCATGTTTCATTCAGCAACATGCTTTGGAACAGTCAGCCCTGCTGCTGGCCCTTCATAGGGAGTTCTTATCCTAATCCAGGAGAAGGGATTGCTTCATAGCCTGTTTCTTTTATTCCTAGGTACTTGGTGACGCACCTGATGGGAGCAGATCTGAACAACATTGTGAAATGCCAAAAACTCACTGATGACCATGTGCAGTTCCTCATATACCAGATTCTTCGGGGACTGAAGGTACTTGTCCCTGTCCTTCCTGAATGTCGGAAGCTCATCAGTGGGAGGTGGATGTTCATGATGAGTGTCATTTTTTCAGAGATTCATATCAATACATAGTGGGAGTTCTGTAACTTTCCTAACATATCATGGGATAACCTTTTACTACTCTTTCACTCATACCTCTTTGGAGCTCTGATAGTAAAGTTAGTTATCATTTAAGAAAATATTTTTGCACATACCTCTAGGCAGAGTCTGAAAGATGATGAACTGAGCTGCCCTCTCATCTGCTCTGACTGTGAATCTTCCATTTCTTCAGTTTTGTTTAGTTGTGGTGTTCCCCCCCAGGGTGGCATTGCCCTGGGTGATCCTGAGGAGAGGCAGTGTGAGACAATGCCCGGTTCCTCCTGCAGACAAGCTGTGGAGTTTGGGTTGGGAGGGATGGGGTAGGACAATAATTGTCTAGTGAAGAAACATGAAGGAGGCTGCTTGGACTGTTACATAAAACTTGTCATCTTGCTTTACAGTACATCCATTCAGCTGACATAATACACAGGGTGAGTATATATCCTGTACTGAACCAAGGGCTTTAAAATTGTAGCACAGAATCTTACAATGCAGCACCTATAGAAAAAAAGAAATTTTCCAAGAATTATTTGGGTTAACCAGTCAAAAGGTTAAATGTGGGAGGTGGTTGTCAAGATCCTTAGTTTCTGTTCCTGCAGATGTTTGGCTTGTATCTTTGTGAAATAGCTTCTCTATTTAAATACACATCTGCAGCACTAGTGTTGCAATAATCTTTTATGTGTTTTCACTTAGATGTGACACAGGCTTTGGGATAATTTCCCGAGTATGGAGAGTTGATATTTATGACCAGTTAGAATCTATATTCGCTCTGCATTTGCATTTTAATTACTTTAGACTTGTGAAACAACATATATACCACTGTTAATGCCAATGTTTCATTTTTTAGGATTTAAAACCTAGTAACCTGGCTGTAAATGAAGACTGTGAGCTAAAGGTAGTGTGATCATAAGCTCTGTTTGGATTGACTGGGATTTGAGTGAATGCCACGTGGATGTTGTTTGAAACTAAAGGGACAAAATAATTCCTGCAGAAATATTTTTGTGGCCCAAAATACTAATGTCCTTCCCAGCTGTAAGGATGTTTTCCTGTATCCGTTTCTGTGTTTTCAATGAGAGTTAACAATTTGGTTTGAGTTTAGTTGGTTTAGAGACATGGTATCCATACAAAATTCAGTGTGTTGAGTCTTACGCTGTTCTGGTGTCTTTTAACAGCTTGTGAAATGTGCTTCATCATCTGCTTTTGCAGCTGCGCCACCTCTCCTCCACCCAATCCAATAACTGCCTAGCTAATTGCTCTACCTAGTTTGAGTTGTTCACTGCAGCAGTTGGTGGATGTCTCTTCCATTCTGTAGATCCTGGATTTTGGCTTGGCCCGACACACGGATGATGAGATGACTGGGTACGTGGCTACCCGGTGGTACAGGGCCCCCGAGATCATGCTGAACTGGATGCATTACAACCAGACAGGTAACACAGTTAATTAACACAAGGCTTTTCAGTTCCTGAATTGTGGAATAAAAGAAGTTACCCTTAACATGTGCTGCTTTACGTTTCATCACCTAAGTTGGGAGTCACGGGAATTACGTTTCAGTGAGGGTAATTAAAAGAAGGAAGGCATGGAATGAGTATTGGAACTACAGTCTACTGAACCTTAGTAAGTTCAGAATCACTGTGATAGCATTCATAAAACTTCTTTAAACTCAAACCTTCAAAATCATAATCAGCAAAATACTATCTTAGCATGGTGGTTTTTAAAGTGAATGAAATGTATCTGGATGAGGAGAAGGTGTGTTTCTAGGAAGCTACTGGAAATACGCTGAAAAGTATCTCGAGTTAAGGTGTGAAGAAATGCCATAAAGTATAAATCTCCCTTCCTTTCCTCTCTTTTTTTCTCAGCAGCTCCTTCACAATTATATCTTCCTCACAGTTTCCAGTATCTTCTCAGCAGCACACTGTGCTTCCGTGCAATGCTTCTAGATCAGGCACTGAGAGGAAAAGCAAAGGCTGAGAATAGTTCTTGTGCAGGAGAGCAAATAATGTGCTTTTCATACTCCACTGTTTTTGATGCTTTTCTCTTTTCCCCTTGCATGTATGTGGACTTGTCTTGCGTCTGTAGCTTAATAGCTGGTGGTGGTTTGGGTAGAATTTCCCTTGGGCCATATGTGAATTCATTCCTCAGGGTTGTCCTGAATGGGTTCCTTCCTCTCTGGTTGTGTAGTTTCCTGCCCAGCTCTTTGGTGTTCAACACATGTTATACTCTGGAAGCAAAATCTGCCTGATCTTGACTTCTGTTATCTGGACACATCTGAGATGATGCAGTTACTGAGCAGAGTCAGTTACCTTGCACTGTATCTCAGGTCCTTTCAATGTCATAAGCTCATTTAAGGATAAAACTGTTCATACTTTTTGGACAGGGTGATTCTATTGAGACTGTTCTCTTCTGCATTACATTGTTCTGTGTTTTATTTTGTTCAGTTGATATTTGGTCAGTGGGATGCATTATGGCTGAACTGTTGACTGGAAGAACGTTGTTCCCTGGAACAGACCGTATCCTTTAAAAGAAATATATTTGTTGGAATCTTCACTTTAGTGGGCTTCACAGTAAGAGTTCTGGGTTTGCTTGTGGGGTGGGTTTATCCTCTTCTTAAATTAATGGCTTCTTTTACTCACAGTCTGATGAGGTGACTTCGTGATTTTGCTGCACACAAAACAATCACTGCAAGAAGGCAATTCTATTCCTCTTTATTGTCTGTTAACATACCAGAACTACCCGCATGTTTGTTTCTGGGAGGTACCTTTCTTTAAGTTCATTTAAATTCATTGCTCTTTGACTTTGTAGAAAATAACTGCATAGAGTAGGCTGGCTGCTAAGAATCCCGTCACACTTCAGGTTCCTAGCGAATGTGAAGCATACCTTCTGGCCTTTCTCTGTGTCGTGGTGGAATGTTGTGAATGCAGCCCCTTTGCAGATGCTTTAGTGCCAAATAACTCATGCCATATTGCTCTGAAACATTTAGGTTCCACTTCCATTCTTGAGTGTTACCAGATTGTGAGCCTTCTTTCACTGTACCTTTATATCAACATGAAAGATCAGCCTCTAACAACATCATTTCAAAAGCATTTTGTTGCTGCACTGAAGTGGGCTGGGCAGGACACTTGAGCAGATTTGAGAGAGCACTTTAGGAGAGTTGGTCAGACTTTCCCCCATGAAATTCGAGCTAAGACCTGAATCAAGCTGTTACCTTCCAGCTTCTGTTCCTTCAGGCACATGTTGGGATAACTTAACTGCCAGCAAGGTTTTTCTTTGCCAAGAAATTGGACTTTGTTTGCCAGAGAAAATGACATTGCCCACCTTTTAGCAATGCTTATTCTTTCAACCACATGTTGTTTATTTTAACTTATTAATTACTATTTATATTTGTTAATTGAAATATATTAGCATTTGGTGGACAAAAAGCCCAACAAACTGGTGTTGGAAGTGCTGGCCTCCTGTTTACTTGGTTACTTGCGGAAAGCGTTTCAGTTCCAAAACTCTTTCATGGGGGGAGAGGTTTTCTTTCCAGTTTTGACATGTTTCACCTCCCTTTTCATTGTGCTTTAGCTTGATCTTTTTTCTTCTCTTCTGCCTATCTCCATTTCATAATCTCTCTCCAAATTATAACAAATAATATCCACAATGCAAACTAAAGTTTACTGTTAGGATCTACATTTTTTGCTTTGGCATATTAAGATACTTTACTAATTTATGTCTCCCAGCAGATACTTGCGATTCTTTACCTGAAATGCTCCATTTCTTTTACAGATGGTAATAAAACTTTTGAATTAAATGCTTTTTCTGCTCTGAGTAGGTTAGATTTTAAGAAAAATAAGGCTTGATCCTTTCCCATCATAGATAAAATTTTGTAGTACTATAGTTCTTACAGTCTTTGTGTGCAAGTTCCAGACTTCACGTAACATATGTGCCATTTATCATGAGGTTAGGACTCTAAGGGGAGCAGGGTTGGTGGTTATGAGTTTTGTTTGTGCATGTAACTCTTAGCCAAGTATCTAGAAAGGTCCCAGGCTGTCAGTTTACGCTCCAGTTTTCTTCATATCTAAAGACAGCAAGTAGAAGTAACATTACAAATGGTTGTAGCTTCTCCCTCAGAAGGCTTTTTGAAGTCTTTATACATGCATGATTTTGGGAGAAAGTTTTAGGAATTTTCCCGATGTAGATCCTGTTGGGTGCTTCTGGGCTCTTAACAGTTTCTTTGTACTCACAGATTTGCTGAGGCCTGTGCTACTCCTGCAGTGTCACTGTGCAATTGCTGCCTGACTTTGCAGCTAATGTGCTTAATTCAGGGTCTATTTTACCATTAGTCATACATAAAGATGCTCCGAGGGCTTGAGCAGCTCTGCTTTGGAGCCAGCCTGAAAGAGCTGGGCTTGTTAAACCTGGAGAAGACTCCTTAAGGGATGACCTTAGAGCAGTTCCAGTGCCTAAAGGGGCTGCAAGAAACCTGGAGAGGAGCTTTGGACAAGGGATGTAGGGACAGGCCAAGGGGAATGGCTTTAACCTGCCAGAGGGGAGACTGAGATGAGCTCTTAGGCAGAAGCTCTTCCCTGTGCGGGTGCTGAGGCACTGGCACAGGGTGCCCAGAGAAGCTGTGGCTGCCCCATCCCTGGCAGTGTTCAAGGCCAGGTTGGACACGGGGGCTTGGAGCAAGCTGCTCTGTGGCAGGGGTTGGAGCTGAATGAACTTAAAGGTCCCATCCAACCTAGACCACTCTGATTCTATGCCTCTAGTAGCTGAGGATACAGTACATCCAAATCCACTGCAGTTCTAGGGAATTCACTTTGCAGTTGGAGGCAGTGGGAGTTTATATTCTGTGTGTTCAGGAAGCTGGAAACAGCTCCTGTTTGACAGCAGAAAATTTGACATTCTTCTTGATTTTTGTTAAGACATTAATTTTCTCACTATATAACCTCACATTCCAAAATGACATATATAGTGACAGAGTAGGTGGAGCTTTCTCAGGATGATGATCATAGAATCATAGAACAATTAGGGTTAGGAAGGACCTTAAGATCATCTAGTTCCAGCCCCCCTGCCGGGGGCAGGGACACCACACAGACGATGTCACCCAAGACTGTCTAAACCTGTCCTTGAACACTGCCAGGGATGAAGATTCATAACATCCTTGGGCAACCTGTTCCAATGCCTCACCACTCTCACAGTAAAAACCTTCTTCCTTATATCTAACCTAAACTTCCCATGTTTAAGTTTAAACCCATTCCCCCTTGTCCTGTTGTTACAGTCCCTAGTGAAGAATCTGTCTCCAGCATCCCTGTAGGCCCTACTCAGATACTGGAAGCCTGCTCTGAGGTCTCCACACAGCTTCCCTTCTCCAGGCTGAACAGCCCCAACTTTCTCAACCTTTCTTCATACGGGAGGTGCTCCAGGCCTCTTATCATCCTTGTATCCCTCCTCTGGACTTGCTTCAACAGCTCCATGTGCTTCTTATGTTGAGGACACCAGAACTGCACACAATACTCCAGGTGAGGTCTCACGAGAGCAGAGTAGAGGGGCAGGATCACCTCCTTCGACCTGCTGGTCACGCTTCTCTTGATGCAACCCAGGATACGGTTGCTTTCTGGGCTGCAAGCGCATACTGAAGCCAGCTCATGTTGTTTCTCATCAACCAATACCCCCGAGTCATTCTCCTGTTCAGATGATTCTCTTGGTTGAAACATTGGGCTCTTTCACCAAGGATTTAGCAGAAATGGCGTAATGTTATTTCCAGGGTATCGGATAGTTCTTTATATGGCCTGGAGATGCATATATTGTACAGGCAGGCTGTAAAGTTAATCTGGTAAGTAATCAAGTTGTATTCTGAGATGGTGCTCTGCTGTGATGGTTGTGCCAGTGATAAACTTAACGCTGAATTTAGTTTGAAGTTATGAAGGACCTAATCTGTAGAGATTCTGACTATGGCTGTCATTGACTTAAAGAAACAGTTGTAGATATACTTAGAAAAAATCCTTTGATTAATGTGGCTCAGCTGTGCAGGACTTCAGACTGAATGTAAACTATTTGAATCGTTCTGTTGTGATCTAGGGGTGGAAATACTTGGGTGAAAGCTGGATTTCTAATATGGGTCAGATCTCTGCCAGGAGGTGGAGAAGGCCAACAAGATTGTGAGAAAGACAAGTCAGAGACAAAAAAGTGGAGGTAATGAAAATCAGACTCCTTCAAGCTTTTCATGTGAGGCCTGGCTAGAGGCTTTTTGGGGGTATTATCATACTGGTCTTGTGTCAGGATCAGTTTTTGTTAACCATGTATATTCTGAATGTTTTTACAACTGTTGTCAATTCATAGAAATAAGTAGGAAAGTTGACTTGCATAAAATTATAAAATCTTGAATGTTTTGTACTAGTTTAGCCAATTTTCTGTATGTTTTAAATTGATGGTATTCCCTTTAAACTCTGAAAAGCATTTTTGTGACTATTTTTTTCAGTAGTGTGAAACTTCCCTGATAACTAACCAATCTGACATTACATGTTCTTCTGATACATCTCGCTCCTGCTTGTGGTGGCAGCTAAAACAGAACATAGCTTTGCCTGGGTAAGCTCTCAAAGCCCTGCAGTGCTTGCTGGCAGGTTCTTCTCTGAAATTTGGAATCACTGAGCCTCACTGGAGGTGCCTTGCTGATGGCACTTGGGGTTTGCATGCTGGGCTTTTCTTCTCCATGCACATGTTTGTTTCTGGCTTGTATTTTCTTTTGCTTTGTATTTACTAAGTCTTTTTCCTGTCTTTTAATTGTTTATGGCTTATTTCTCTGATGATCTTAAAGGTCTTTTCCAGCCTAGTTGGTTCTGTGACTCTGGGATGTGGTAAGACATGTAGTTAATGAATGCTGCAGTTCAGCAGGTTATAGAAGGAGCCTGAGAAGCAGGGGTTGGCTTTTGTTGTGCCTGCAGCACATGAGACTTGCTTCATTAGTTATGGAACTTTTTCACAGTGTGCAAGGAGGATGAAATCTCCATACAAGAGAGTTCATGTTCTGTGTTTTCTCTTGCTTATCTGAGAAGCCACTGAAGCATGTTGCACAAAGATCTTCCAGTAGCACTTTTCCTGGGAAAAGAGGTGTCAGCAATATTGTTGGCACACCTGGTGCACATGGTTTTAAAAGCATTTAAATATAGGTATGGCATGTGACTTCTGAAGCACAGCAGCAGCAGCTTGAAATTTGCACAAGGGTTTCTTGCACAAGAATGATTGAAAGAATCTATGATTCTGTGTTAAGGGCTGTTTGAAATGGCCCTGAAGAACAGCTGGCTTAGATGCTATCCTAACTGGGGTTGGGATAGCACCCTCTGCTAACTCAACACTGGATATACTGATTGCATTTTAAACATTGACAATTAAGAGTTGGCAATTCAGCAGCTAAGCTAAATCCAACTAGATGCATTGGATTTACTCTTAGGTTTCGAGTGTCTTAAGTAGGTGGGAGCTGGCCAGGCAACTTGAGAAGTGAGAAGTTAGTTCGGCTGTTCTGACAAAGTACTATTTCCAGGGCTTTTAATTCATGTCATGTGGAAAGCTTTAGATCAGCTTTAGACCAGAGTTTACATGAAAAGGTAAAGGTTTTAGCAAAGTCTTTGTGATTCCTTTCTTATAGAGTTTGCCAGTATTGCAGGAACTGAGGCTAGCTTAAGAAACAGAAGACGGGTTTTGAAGTTCTTGCAGTACTCAACATACTCTAACCAGGAATTGTAACTGTGTGTTAAAACATGAGGAAGGGATTGATCTTGGAAGAAACATTGTCTGGTGAGTAGGCCAGTCTAGTGAATAGATTAGTGAATAGACTACTTCTGTGGAAAGGAAAATATGTGACTGGTTTGATACAATTTTAAGGGCAAATGTAAACATTACAGACATAGTCTGAAATCACTAGTAGGTTTTGAAGGGCAGCATGGAGAACAATTCAGAGAGGAAGGGAGATTATTCTTCTAATGGTTTATCAAAGACACCTTTGTCTCCTTACTGTGAGGTTTAGAAATACAGCAGTGTCTTTAGTGGATTTTTCCCTTAAGTGTACATTTTGGCACTTGGGTCTTGTCAGAGAGGGTAGCTTGGATGTGTATGTGGGTAACACATTCTTTGCCTCTGCAGTGCGATGTCCTGAGGGCTTTCTGCGGAGAGACTTTAAATGTGAGCCCCATCTTCTGATGGAGCAACGCTGCAGGTCACGAGCAGGCTCCAGTTGTTTTCTTACTTTCTAAGTTTTAGAAGTGGCTGAATTACTTTGGAAGGCATTCACAGAAGGCCTTGACTCTTGTTAATACCAGTTCTTACCCTTGTGAGTCGCCTGCTTCACTTCATCTGTCACTAACACAGCCTAATCCTATTGACTGCTTGTACTGTTGTGCGTGGCCTGAGCAGGCACAGTGGGCATGTGAATTGGTCCTTTGCCAGTGGAGCAGCAGCTCTGGCTCCTGCTCTGTGGTAGTGAAGGATGCAGTGGCTGATCCAATGCATGTGGTTCGCTTGTAGACAAGTTGTTCCATCTGTCTGGGTACAGACTGAGCTGTGTTATAAGGGGGTATTCAATGAATGCAGTTTGCTTAAAACAGCTTCTCAGTTGAGGCCTTGGCAGGAACTAACTTTCAACAGGCTGATAACATTACGCTTTTCATTTTGATTTGTCCCAGCATTTTCCTTTATGGTCCATCATTAGATATTGATCAGTTGAAGCTCATTTTGAGACTCGTTGGAACCCCAGGGCCTGAGCTTTTGAAGAAAATCTCCTCAGAGTCTGTGAGTTTACACTTTGATTGTAATATCTGCCCTTTCGGAAGTCCCCACTTTGTGCGTTTCCCTCCTGTAGTCTTATCTGTAGTATGTGTTGGGGTTTATTTTCTATTTTTTCTTAATTCCTTTGTCATTCTTTGCTCTTTGATGGCTTTGAGTTCTTCTGCTGTGTGTATCTGATCTTTATTCCTCTTACCTCTGTCTGTGGTATGATTTCCTCCTTCTCTAGTCTCATTTTACTGCCTCATGATGTTTCTTTCAGTTTGTGGGTTTATACTTTGTGATCTAATATATGCTCAGGTGCTGCTGGGGAAGTATTTTTCACAGCTGAGAGCTTGAGGGTCATCTCAATTACTGTTTCTCCTGATAGCCTACCCAGGGCTCTTTCTTAACAGGGGCAGATGTGTTATCCTCTGAACACACAGTCCCTTCTGTAGTATGATTAAGTCTGAAATACTGCTGCCACAGTCTTTGGTTTTGTAGCCTAGAAGCCAAAATGCCTTTTAAGTGCTTTTACGTGGTAGCTAGTTCCATGGCACAGAGTCTACTGAGAATATATCTTATTGTGCTGTGTATTTAAAGAGTATTGCTGTGTGTGGGGCCCTTCTGGCAGGGTAGTAGTGAAAAGCTTTCTGCAGTTCCCTTTTTAAATGGGGACCTCTATTTTCAGCCATTTCTTTATTGACTCTTGCAATCTGAAACTTGAGCAGAGACACTATTAAATGGCATTTAATTTTACCTGTTTCTGAAGGTGAAGTGCATAAAAGTTAGAGCAAGAGCTGCTCTAATCCATAATTCATGCCATAACAACACGGATTAACAAGCTACTGCACAGTGCGCAATGAGCTTGTGTAGAGGTAACTACCAGTGTACTGGAGTGAGTCAGTCTGCTGTTCCTGATATATAACAGAGGATCAGCATGGTGGAGGGTGATGATGAGCTTATTTTGTACAGCACCTTATGTTCTTTTTCACCTAACAATGACAGTAAATGCAAGATGTGAGGTTAGCCTTGAATTGCAGTTGATAAAGGCAGATATGTGCAAGTTGGAATCTGTTGGTAACTTGCTGTGTATCAGACCAATAGAATGAGCCTTGGGTTATTCTGCCCTTGAAGGGGCTGGAGCTGGTTGCCCTGTGAACTGACCTGAGGGTAGTCTGGTATATGAAGTGCTGGGGATTAGAGAGATAAGCTTAAATGTTCACTAGGTCAAGCACAAGATTAACTCGCATACATAAGGTTGAAGTCGGTCTTTTTATTTAACGGTGCACAATAAAAAGAATAATTGCTATTAGCCAGGTCCAAATCAAGAGTCTGCTTAAAAATAAATGCAGTAATGTCTAGTCTAGGTCATGCTTTAACTAGAAAGGTTGGACCTCCTTGAGGTTCCTTCCAACCTGGGCTTCTCTGATTCTGTGGTACTGTTACTACTATTTCTCTCCATTGTGTGGAGACAGCAAAACTATTGAGGGCTTTAGCGTGTCATTAACCAGTTGTGTTTTCCTGTTGCATTACTTACTCTTCCTCTCGGTTCACTGCCATCAGCTAACTCTGTCTTATGCAATGCTAATGGTTTGCTAATTTTGCATTTATTGCCTTCTGTTACCTCACCCACATCTTAAAGTGCATTCAAAGCTGTTTAGAAGGAGGTGTCGGTTGTGAGCCAATGCCACTTTGCACCCTAAGGAACTTAAGTACTTTCTGAACAGCAAGAAAAAAAGCTGGTAACCAGTGCAGGGAGTACAGTTGTTGTTTCTGTTTTAATTCTTGTTCATTTTCCTGAGGCTGGATGTAAATGCAGCAGCCCAGCGAAATCTCTGACAAGCAGCTTTAGCCAAAGGAAACATCTACTGTGGTGGCTTAAAACTCCTGGGAAATGTCAAGGCAGCCATGTTGTAATTAAAGCTATTGCTGGTGGGCAGAAGTACTTCATGTTCTGACACTGTTACCAACTGATCAGTAATTCCTTGTTGGTTTAAGTGTTCCCTGGTGCAACTACTAAACTTTTCATGAGTCTATGAAGAAATCAGTGGGCCCTGATGATTGCTGATGGCTTTTGCGTTTTGGTTTGCAGAAGAGATGCTTTGTATGTAGCTGTTTGGTGTTTAAAATGGTTTTTGCACTGTTTTTAACAAAGCCCTTGACTAGGCACTTAAGATATTAACCAGCTTCAGCAGATCATGCGTCTGACGGGGACACCCCCTGCATATCTCATTAACAGGATGCCCAGCCACGAGGTGAGATCTGAGCAGACAACGGGGGTTTGCAGGGCCAGGGCTGCTTCTGGAAGTGATGTGCTCGCATGTGGCATGGGGTGGGCAATTCCCTACCTGCTCTTCGGCAAGACTTTTGTACTAAATGAAGACTGTACCTACTCAGACATACACTTCAGAGACTGGGGAGAGCCTTGGATGCGAGTGGGTTTTGTGTCGTGTGCCATATTGTGCAGCTTCCCAGCTGACACTGTGCTGCACACAGCCTCACTGGGACTCTGAGCAGCACCTCTTTGCTTTCGAGTCTTGCATGAACCCTGAGTCTTGTCAGCTCTTCCTCTGCTGTCTTGAGTGGCCTTTAGTTGTTGCTGATGGGCTAGTAAGTACCAGACTAAGTAAGGAGAAAGCAGAGCAAGGAGACCGACCGTAATCAGTGCTTCAGGATGATTGAGATGTACTTTGTCTTGGTGGCTGGATTGTATTGTGCTTCAACAGAGCATTTATTTCCACAGGCAAGAAACTACATTCAGTCTTTGTCTTACATGCCAAAAATGAACTTTGAAAACGTGTTTATTGGCGCCAATCCACTAGGTAAGGAGCTTCTCAGATGCTATGCTCTTTTGGAGACTGCAGCTATAGAGGGTCTTGGGACACACTGACTTCCTTAAGTGCAGTTTTGACTTCAGAAGTAGTTCAGAACAGGACTATGCCCCATTTCCAGAGTTTACAAAGTATGTGTGGGCTGCAGGTATAGGAGGAGGAGATTGTGGATGGTGAGTGGGTCCTCAGAAACTACAGATTCCTCAAAAAATAATTCCTCTGACAACCGTATACTTCAGGGAGCAGTGTTGTAGAGCTCACTGTGTAATCCTTTCTTTCCTGTTGTGGTGCTTTCCCAGCTGTGGACTTGCTAGAGAAGATGCTGGTTCTGGATACGGACAAACGAATTACCGCAGCAGAAGCACTGGCTCATGCCTACTTTGCTCAGTATCATGACCCGGATGATGAACCAGTGGCAGACCCCTATGACCAGTCCTTTGAAAGCAGAGAACTTGAGATTGAGGAATGGAAAAGTGAGTTGGGGGGCAGGAGGGGAGCCAGAATCCCTGGTGAGCTGTGGGAGTTGAGGCACAAAAGAAACAGCTAAGACCACAGGTGTCCTGTTATGAGCGAAGCTGTTACATGCTGTGCATGAAAGGAGCATGGTCCCTGGTAGCTAATTACTACTGTAAGCATACAAGCATGTAGGTGACATAGTTGCTCATGTCTTCCATATATTCAAACTTCTTGACACCTCCTTGATGCTCTGGAAGTGTCTTTTATTGTGCATGGTAGTGCCTGAGAATGGAGGAACCATTCTCTTTCTTAATTGAACCACGTTCTTTGTTTAAAATAGTGTTGGACCCTCTAAGATTGTTGCAGGTTTTCTTGCACAAGGGATGTCTTCAGTACTGCCTGTTAAGGTCCTGTCGTGCTTTTCCCACCAGGCCTGACTTACGATGAAGTCATCAGCTTTGTGCCACCACCACTTGACCAAGAGGAGATGGAGTCCTGAGAAACTGCTCTCTTCTGCTCGTCCCACTTCACTGTGAGGGGAAGGCCTTTTCGTAGGGACTCTCCAACTATCATTCAAGTGCCTCGTCACAATATTCTCCTTGGTGGAGGGGTTTTGTGTGTGTTGAACTGGGGGGGTGGGAGGGGGAGGGAAGAAGCTGAGTCTATGTAAACATGCTGCATGCTCTCTTGTATTCTGTGTCCAGCCTGGAGCAAGCCTCTGAAGAACCTGTTGTGCCCGCGCATTAGTCCTGCCAGAGTAACAGTGCAGAAACAGTTTGCACTGCTGGGGCGAGGTGGGGAAGGTGATGTTAAGTTTGGTTACAATCATTGCCATTTATCAATTCTTCTACAACTGAATAACCTCAAAAGAGTGGAAGTTGGTTTATAGGCTTAGAGAGTCCTCTGTTTCCTACAGGACTGCAGGTGGTGTTGAGGGATGTCCTTGCTCAATGCCAGATGGCTGATTTATGTCCAGGTCTTCCTGGTACAGTAGAGTGTACAGGCCTTCTCATGTCCAGTTCATGGATCATGAAAAGGTTTTGTTTGAACCTGTAAATATGTTTGTGCCTTAAATGAATGGGGAGAGAGGGGAAATGAAGTCTAGAGCTGAAATCTGACCTGCTGGATTTTGGGGGGGGGGAAGGCTCCCAGATAGTGAGGCATGAACTCTGTGTTATCTGGAAATAACTTTCCAAGGCAGCAGCCTCTACCCCTGGATTGAGTGTTCCTGTATCTTTCCCTCTTGCCCTCCTCTCATTCTGAGGCTTCCCAGCATTAATCCCCAGGAGACAGAGGCTGGAGAAGATTCTTGCTAGCCACACATTGGTGTATTTTGTCCTTACAAGCTGGGGTGGTTTTGCATGTCGTAGCTGTCTGTGCATGTAGAGCTGCTTGATTTTTCTCATTACTTCTCGGGGATGGCAGTGGGGCAGTTAAACCATCAGTGAACACCGAGTACCTCAGCCAGTGCCATGAAATCACAGCATCCTTCCTCATGTGTTGCAGCTCATTGTGAAATACCTGCCATGCTGGAGGCTCTGAGGAGGAAAGGAGAAAACATATGGCATAGACACATGCACCTTTTAGTTTGTTCTGACCTTTTGGTTTCAGAGGAGGAGAGGTTGGGATGAAGGGTTTCTTGTGAGATCAAATGTAAAATATTCTAAGAACCAGCTATGGCGTCTTGTGCCACAACTTAAGTTATTTCCTGACAAGATGTTTTTAGAAGTATTGGAATCCAAAGCAAAGAAATAAGCATGCATAAATCCACAATCTCCCTTTTGCTGTCTATATCTATAAATATAAATATTTATATATAAAAACCTAACATTTACTAAAGGTTGTGGGTTTTTTTTACCCTCTTGGGTAAGAGCTGCTTGGCTGTTTTTGAGCAGGTTGATCTCTGCCTGAGGAAACACGAAAAAGGGAGTTTGTTTGAATGCAAACGTAGTTCAGATACTTTGAATTTTATAGGACTCCGCATGAGTGAAACACCCAGAGGTAGAGACCTGCAGGAAGGAGGTTTCCCAGCATGTGTGTGTGCTGGAACTGCACCTGGGGAGCTCAGGAGCCCAGTTTTAGGACTTCAAGGAGATGGTTTTAGACATTTATGTGTGGACAGTGTAGTTGTGTATGTGAGGAGAAAGGCTTTTGCAGTATTTTGTACCCTTGTTACCTATGGGATGGAGAGGAATCGTTAGTAGTGTTTTTTACCCTGTTTGGAGAGGCTGCACAAAGGGATGGGACAATTGATTCTTCATAGGCCTCTTTCCAGTTATCTCTTCAGGTCAAACACTTTATTAAGGTGTGAGGTGAGGTGAAGAGAGCAGTTACGTCATGCTCTGGGATAAAACTCTCCTCAGCCCGACAAAATCAAGATACAAACCCCTCCCTTTTCTGCTGGACCAGCAGTCCAGGAATCCAAATGAAAATGTAGATACACTCTAAACCTACAGCAAGATTATTTTTAATCTGCCATTTTATGTGTAGATGCTACAGTGTGGTTTTGTGCAGATATTGCTAAAGATTTTAAAACCCAATCTAGACATTGTGTGTGTGTCTGTGTGTGTGTCTGTGTGTGAGTGGGAATGTTCCATCCGGAGCTTGTCCTTGGAGGCAGACCATGTGGGATGCACTCCCTTGCCTGCAGTGCAGCCTGAACAGGACGCACTTGCAAGAAGAGATCTGCTCTTTGGGTTCTATCCATGAACTTTGCTGTAATTGGTTATGACAGAGAATATGTCGTGATACCACTGGTTTAAAAAATAAAACCTATTTTTCAGATTTACTGCACTCATGGTACTTGCAAACCTCTTGCTCTGAGGGGCTGGTGCTCACGCAGTGTCTATTCCTCTCTTGTGTTGAAGGGCATCCTGTGTGTGGTGGTTGGGGCATGGGGTTTGAGGCCACGGGACCTGTTGGCTGACACTGTATTGTGTCCGTACTTGTCCCAAAGAAATTACTTGCTAGAAAAATAGCTCAGAGTCTGTCCACGAGTACTGGACGCAGAACAAAATATTTTCATTTTCTGTTTGGTACAAAACCACAATAGACCAGCAACCTGGTACCTGTCCAGACTGGGGACCCTTCCCCAGTAGCACCGCTTTGTGTTTGTTTGCTCTTTTTAAAAGTGATTTGTTTTCCTCTTCAGCTGCCATCTAGTTGGTGGTGGAAGGGTGTTGGCAGGAGCATCACGGCTCCATGGTGGAGCTTTTCTGACTTCTGTTGAGTATTGGTGCACTTCACGCTGAAGAACAACTGACTGAAGTTGACCAAATCCTCAGTAACTGATGTTCCCAGTGCCCTTATCTGCTGAGGTGGTTCCTGTTTATCCAGGTCAGATACCCACCACACATGTGCTCCCCAGCAGCAGTCACAGTGAGTACAAGAACAGTGTGGGGTGTTCTTTTGGCTGTGTGGGAGCTGCCCTCCTGCTTGCTTCACCCTCTGCTTGCCTTGGTGCAAACCAAGAGGGGAGGAGGGAAAAAGCCCCACCAGGACCTGACACTGTTTTCTGGGAGGAAAAAAATCCAGAGTACCCAAGATAGACAATTCCAGGATGAGCTCAGTTACAATATAGAATCAGAATGGTTAGGGTCGGAAGGGACTTCAAGGTCATCTAACCTGATTAGCAAAAAAAACCTTTAAAATCAGAATTGGATTGGGGAAACAAACTCCTTATACAAAATCAAATCACTTAAGGTTCCTATTCAATTTGGATCAGTCACTTGAATTAATTCATCTTTCTACAGCCCAGACATGCCCTAGATATTTAGAACTCCTTAATTGTGCACGATGACCTGTGTGTGCATGTGTAGTTGAGCAAGAGCTGTGTTCATAAAATAACAACCAAGTTACATGCTTGCTTAAGTCCAGGGAGTTTGCTGTAACACCTCTTGCTCACAGGTGTATTTATAGCACCAAGCCTGCTGTAGGTTGGTTTCCTGACTGCTGTTGCTACTGCTGTGGTTTATTGACATGTATTTGCATAGGCAAGGATAAAACATTGCCATAGCACCTTGGTGGTGGTTTGTAGAACCTTGCTGTGGCTGTTTGAAGAGGTCAGGGTTGATATGTACCACAGTGGTTGCCTGTAAGGAGGTAAAATTAATTTTTCCAAACCCCCTCATTTTTTTTTTTTCCCCGCAATTCCCATTTGTCAGGTTAGCTTGGCTCTGGTCCTGCCATGCGGATGCACTCAGAGCAGGGCCACCTTTGTGGGTGGCATGGATGGAAGGCACACAGGCTACAGGCAGGGTTGGGGTGAGGGTGGCGAAGCACTCTGTAAGCGGTCGGGCTGGCTTGGTAAGGCACAGCTTAGTCACTTCCTTCGGGAAGTGTGTAGGATCACCCACCTCCCGTGTGGGAGCCCCACCGGAGCCTCCTGAAGCTGCAGCAAAATGTCGAGGTGTTCTGTGCTCACCAGGAATGGACTTCCTGACGGGTTGGGTTTGCTGGCCTGGTCCTGGTGGGTGCAGCAGTGAACCTGAGCACTGTGCTGCCTGAGAAGGGATTAGATCTGCTGGAGGAGATAGAACAAGACCCGGCAAAGCCTGGGGCACAAGCAGATCTTGGGATGAACCTGTCTCGCAGCTGCTCCTGAACCTCCTCACTGCAGTCACTGCAACGAAGGTGGAAAGGATGGAAGATGGAAAACTGGGAAGCCAGGCTTAGGAGAAAATGGTGATCACCTCCTCGCTGTTCTGCAGACCTATCACCCTGGTACCCTTCATCAATCACGAGGAGCCTAGAGCTGTCCCCCATTAGCTGGAAGGAAGAATGTTCCCGCTCGTCTGACGAGGCGCTGTGGCTTGTCCCCCGGATTCCCTGGCTCCACGAGTCCTTACTCATCAGGGTCAGGATCTCACGAGACCCCCCCCCCCCCCCCCCACCCCGACGACATTGCTGGGCCCGGTGGCAGCCCAGAGGCCGAGGTGCGGGGCTCCCGGAGGTGTGGGCCGGGCGCTCGGGTCCTGTGGCAGAGCCCAGAGGCACCTGTAGAGACCGAGGCGTGTCGTGAAAGCTGATGCCTCACCTCCCCGATGTGGAGGCGGAGGGAGGGCCGAAAGACATGTCCGTGCGCGCTCACTGCAGCTGAGAAGGCAGGAGGAAGCTCGCTGGAGCCTCTCTGACCAGCACAGGAGGCCTCACTGTCCTGCTCTCACCCCAGAAGCCCTCCCGTACACCAGGACTCTGGGGGGGTGGCAGTCCCACACCCGCCGGGCGATGAACATCACAAGGAGAAGAGGCTTCTACAGACAGGAGGTGAACAAAACGCTCTGGGAGCTGCCCAGGAGATACACGTCCCTCCACCCGCTGGGGTCTGGAGCCTACGGCTCAGTGTGGTGAGTGGGGCCCTGCCCGCACGGGGTGAGCTCGGGGTGTTGAAGTGCCACGGCAAGGGGAAGCGAGGAGGTGCTTCTGGGCACCCCTCCATTAGGGAAGGACATTTGCATGTGTGATGAAGGCGGTCTGCCTCCCGCTCCAGTGCAGGCAGCGGCTTGGAGACCTGGTTGCTTGAAGGAACTGAGATGCTTCCTCCTGTGGTCACCCCGGGTGGGCAAAGGGGAGTCACCTCGGTGGGTGTGCTTAGGCAGCAGCTTGAGAATCAAGGCAGGGCTGCTGGGGACACGGAGGCACCTTGGGGTGTCCCATTGGCACTGGGGATCAAGCAGCTTTGGAGCTTCCATTGAGACTTGTGTCAGACAACCTGGCTGTCTGGAACAGGGGTGCTGTGGCATGGCCTTGCTACTTAGTTCAAGGCAGCTGATGTTTACCAGTGGTATTGGCAGTCCCAGGGTAACGGTTGGAAACCTAGTACCATTCTATGATTCTATGCTGGGCTGCCTGGAAAAGGAGCTGGACAATACAACGTCCACCTTGATTCAGCTTCCAGCTAGAAAAACTAAAATAGGAATTACTCAAAACCAGGATCAGTAACAGACTGGGACTTCTTCCCAGCTGGGGGTGATGCCCAGCCTACAAGAGAGCAGCACAACTGCCGTTAATGAATCGGTTGGTCAAAGGCAGCTGTAGCGAGAGCAAGCACAAGTCAGACCTTGCCTGCTTTACAGTGGCTTTCTGAAAGGTTAAATCTGAAGCAGTCCAGTGCCAAGACCTCAGCAGAGCACTTGATTCATAACACACCGAGCTACATAAGCAGGCGTGTCCTCTGTTGTAGGTGTGAGGCAAAGCCTCTGCCGGCTGGCCCAGCTAATCCTGACACCCTGGGGCCCAGGCTGTATCCTTATCCCCCAGCTACCCGGTATTTCCTTTCCCCCTTTTGCTGTTCAGGTTCATTGAAGTTTCTGAGACACCTAAATGAATCTCTCAAAACCAGGCAAGCCTAAACCTGTCTTTTTTTTTTGTTTTTGTTTTTTAATATTTGCACAATATTTTCTGATTTTTATCACAAAGGAAAACAGGAAGACTGAAAGAAAATAGGACATAAAAGGGAAAGTGAAATCCTTCCAAAGCCTCTTTGCACTCCAGAGAAAACCAAACATCAACAAGGCATGTCTTTTACTGGTCCCTGTTACAGTCTCAGCTGCTCTGAGGCCTCGGGGAAGGGAGCAGTGGATGCTGAACCAGCCCTGGGTCCAGGGTGGTGGTCACAGCATCCATGGGGAGTGCTCAGCAGGGAGGATTCCTTCACAAAGCCAAGGTGGAAGCCTGTGGAGTTTGAGTTTGCTGTCCTCTGCTGGGAAGTTTTCTGGTCCCAGCGTTATTTGGAGCTGCTGGTTTTTATACCCCATTGATCAGCTGAGAAACTAGCTTAGGAAAAACAGCAAACGGGTTAATTCCCTCAATTGCCCAAATCTGTAGTGATTTAGTTTCCAGCTGAATGTAAGTGGTGGAAGAAGATTTTTCCACAAGGATGTGGGGAGCGACTCTTCATCAGTGATAGGACAAGAGGTGACGGGTTCAAACTTAAACAGGGCAGATGGAGATGGGCAGAAGCTCTTCCCTGTGAGGGTGCTGAGGCGCTGGCACAGGGTGCCCAGAGAAGCTGTGGCTGCCCCATCCCTGGCAGTGTTCAAGGCCAGGTTGGACACAGGGGCTTGGAGCAAGCTGCTCTAGTGGAAGGGGTCCCTGCCCGTGGCAGGGGTTGGAGCTGGAGGAGCTTTAGGGTCCCTTCCAACCCAAACCAGTCTGGGATTCTGTGTTTCTGACCATTCAGTGCTGGTCTTGCCCATCACTGCCAGCCGGTCCTGGCTGCATCACCTGAATTAACTTTGGCTGTGCCTTACAGTAAGGGTGAAAGCAGCATAGTCAGTGCTGTGTTGGGGGCTCCATCACAGACTCTCCTGCACTGGGGGCTTGGCTGCTCCAGGGAAGGCAAGTGAAAACATGCACCATTGAATCGGGAAACCTGCCCTAAACCTGAACCTGTTTGACTCTCTGGTCCAAGTCCCTTCTGCTTCCTTCCCTGCTCCTTGGAAGCCTTTGTGCTGTCCTCTCTGCCTGCTCAAGTCCTGAAGCTGAGACAACTCATCACTGGGATCTTCAGTGCTGAAGCTGCCTTGTGTAGCCATTCCTGCTTCTCCCTTTGCCTTTCCCAGCTGAATGCATTGGTGAAATTGCCATCAAACACTCCCAAAGGATGCTTTTTGCTCTCATCACACACAACTTTGAACAACTGGAAGGGACAAAGAGATTGGAGGTTGCCCTGATATCAGGGTGGTTGATGGGAGCTCTTGATAGCCCAGGCTGATGTTGGAGGCACCATCGTCTGTGGTTGACAGTCAGGGAAAGCTGCGCAAGAGACTTCCAAGATGTGCAGCAAGCAGCTGATAACCCCTCTGCAGTGTTGAACCACAGGGAAAGCCACATGGAGTGGGATGTTCCCACCTCTCCTAATGCCGTTACCCCTTAACCCAACAAAATGAACTGTTTGTGATATTATAAACAGCATTTCCCTGTTGATTTATGATGTCTTGCCTCTGAATGATGGTCCTGGAGGATACAGTAATCCTTGATTCAGTTTTGTGGTACCTGCCCCTCTGAGAGCCTCAGGGAAGGAGCAGTGGCTGGAGCCTGGCAGCTGGGCACTGTGGCAGCATGAACCACGTCTCCCTGCAGAGGAGGTGGGGAAGATGCCTGTGCAAGGCTGGAGGACATGTGCAAGGGGCTAATGCCAGCACTCATGTTGGCCTGGTTACCCTGTGCTGTGGGACTGAACATGCTGATGTTCAGCCCTCCCACTTCCCATGGAGATCAGGATTTACAAAGCAGTGGGAACTGCCCTGGAAACCCGCAGTGCAATTTGGCACAGGAAGAACCCTTTCTGCATCTCTTTGTCTCTTGGAGGGGTTGAGGAGGGTCTGAGGCACCAAGATCCCTCTGGAAAACACCACAGAGATGCCAGATTACAGCTCTCCTGACTGAGGACTGTCTCCCGTGTCTTGTCTCGTGAGACCCAGAGCCTCCCTTGTAACCCAAGAGCCTCCAGAAGCAGAGGAGGCATCACAGGATCACCCTATCCAGCCACAAATAGCACACGTGACCAGAGGGAATAACAGGTCACATCTCCAGTGACAGCTGCTGTGCTGTGTTTTCATTTGCTTTATAGAAGCCGCTCACTTTCAGCCAGACCTGCTGTACACAGAAGCATTTGTATAGCATCCAAGGTCCCAAATGTGGGAGAATTCACTCCAGCAGCCTGTATTTTCAGTGTGTGACAGCCACTGTCTTTGCTCCCGAGCACAAAAAAAGGCAGCTGATGTACCTTAAAAGACAACAACCTCCAAGCAGATGGCAAAGCAGGAATTGCTTTATTCCCTTGTCTCCCTGTGTTAGGGAAAGGGAAGGCAGAGTCAGAATTAATTCTGACCTTTACCCATTTGTGTTTCCCTCTTCTCACAGCTCTGTTAGCTCCAGCTTGTTTCTGCAGGTTCCTGGCCACTGAGGCTTTGTTTGGTGTCCCACCTAGATCTCCAAAGTGCACGGGCTGCTGCCCAAGTTATACAGGGCAATGCCTGCCTGTGCACAGCTCCTCTGGGTTTCTCAAGAGACCTTTCTTTGCTCTTCTTCTGCAAGCTCCAGAGTTTGTTCTTCCTTAGGAGAAGACCTTTGGTATCACAAAATATTGCTGATGTCAGAACTGGTTTTTATTTGTCTGCCACAGTTCGGCCATAGACAAGAAGACAGGGGAGAAGGTGGCTATCAAGAAGCTCTGCCGCCCATTCCAGTCAGAGATCTTTGCCAAGAGAGCATACAGAGAGCTCATGCTGTTGAAGCACATGCAACATGAGAATGTAAGTACTCCCTATGAGGGTGCTGAGGCGCTGGCACAGGGTGCCCAGGAAAGCTGTGGCTGCCCCATCGCTGGCCGTGTTCAAGGCCAGGTTGGACACAGGGGCTTGGAGCAAGCTGCTCTATGGAAGGGGTCCCTGCCCGTGGCAGGGGCTGGAGCTGGAGGAGCTTTAAGGTCCCTTCCAACACAACCCATTCCCTGGTGCTATGATTTCTTTCCATTTCTGCTGAAACAGGGTGGGGTTCTTGCCATGTGGGAGAGTCCTTTCTGGTGGCATCACCTTTATTTTAATTGAGAGGTCCTGACTCTTGGCACATGTGGGCAGTCTCAGGGTTTAACTTCTACCTGCCTGCTGTGCCCAGTTGGCACCAGGCTGAAGCTGATGTGTAATGGGTGCTCCCGTGTATTAGTAAGAGGAAAAGCAGCTGCACAGCATAGTGAGCAGTCCTCAGATTCCTCACGTGGAGTTCCTGGTGCTCACCCATGTGCATGTGCCAATGGAGCCCTGCTACCTGAGTCCACACGTGCTCAGCAAATGCTTTCCAGGTTTAAATGTGGACTACTTCTCTTCTCCATCAGGTCATTGGGCTTCTTGATGTCTTCACCTCTGCTGCTTCCTACCAGGGCTTTCAGGACTTGTAAGTTCACGTTTGCTCTGTCTAACTCAGCCCTTGCCCAAGATGCCTATGACTTAGCAGCAGTATAACAGATCAGGTTGAGGTGCAGTCCAATAGATGGGGTTGAAAAGGCGCCAGACTAAAGCCAGCCATCCCCAAAAAACAAGGAGAAGCAAAAGCACAGGTCATTTCCTGTGGTTAAACCACCCAGGTTACACAAACAGACCCCATGCCATGCTTGCAGCTGGATGAACACAGTGCAGGTAGACCAAGGTGTCTAAAAAAGTAGCTTTACATTCCATGACATATCACAGGCGTCATGATCCATGCTAATGTGCTGCCTGTGGGACTGCTGAGCTAAGAAGCTGTGCTCAGAATGGGACAAGAATTGTTCATCAGGCCCTCTCAGTAATTGAACAGCATTTTAAAGATCTGGCTTTCTTCTTATCTCAGTGCTGGCTATACTTTTTCTTTTGGCATTTCTCTCAGTTGCTGGTCAGGCTGGATGAGTTTTCTCTTTCCCGTCTTTGGGCATGAGCAGCATGTGCCTGGGTTTGGGTGTTTAGCAGCCTGCAGGAGAAGTGTTTGAAGGTTCTCAGAGCAGTTCCTGCTGAAGATTATCAACTAATGAGCAGTCTCCGCATGCAGGCCAAAGACTGGAGGAAGCTCAATGTCTTCCAATGCAGGGCTGCAGAACATTACCAAGATAAATTTGGAAGCAAACACAGCCATTTTGCAAGACTCTTTAAAGCTGCACAAGATGTTTCAGTTCCTGGATGGTGTAAGGCCATCTGGAACTGACATCATTTGATGTCTAAAGTAAACTAATTCAGGATTGTTGGAGTTTGAAACATCCTTGACCTTATTTGATGTCAGATATCTGATTTAAGGGGAGAAGAGAAGGCAATTTTAAGAGCAGGTTGAACTCCCAGCATCACTGCAGGCTGTGCTAGTCACCCAGCAGCACTGTCACAACAACTCAACTTAGTTACAGTAAGTTACATAGCCAAAAAAAAAACCAAGAATCCCAAGTGAAAGAGAACAAGGCTAGTCTGGTTCCCTGTGTTTTTCTTCTAGACTCAGGGCCTTGTCTTACTGCCTTTTAGCTACCTGGTGATGCCATACATGCGGACAGACTTACAAAAGATCATGGGACATGAATTCAGTGATGAAAAGATCCAGTACCTGGTCTACCAAATGCTGAAAGGGCTAAAGGTAGGTGGGACTGGAGGAGTTTAGTGACTCCCTGTGTCTCCTCTACATGTCACCTCTGGGTTGACCATAACTAAACCCCCTTCCAACACTAGTTGGAAGATTTGGGGGGGTTCATGGCATCCCCTGAGATATTTGCTGTTGAACTGCTCTTTTTCCAGCACACATCAATAAAGCAACTGCTTGTTCCCATCAGTCAATTGGCTGTTGAAGCAAGCATCAGTCTAACCCTGGCAACTGGTTTTACCATGACAGCAGTTGTGCTGGTTTTTGACTAGCCAAAACCCTTAGCAAAACTGTGCAGAAAGAGGCTGGCAGCAACAGGAGCCTCTGCTGAATTCCTCACAGGGGCTCTCAGGGAGCAGATGGAGGGAATGATTTTCTGTTCAATAGAATAAGGAAGGAATTTGCTGCTGTAACCAGCTTTGAGAGCTGAGAGCAGTCAAACCTGGGGTGTGGAGGCAGTGGAACACCCCTCACCTGGGGTCAGAGCAGGGACTTCCAGGCACTAATGAGTTCATCTTAATAACACCTTTCCACAGATCACTGTTACCTGAAGTTTAAATAGAGGGGGGAAGAACACACAGAAGGTTTAATTGGTATGACAAAAGCCACGTAGTCAGGTTTTGTGACTGGACAATTAGATTATTTTTTTCCCCACATAGTTTAACACCCAAAATAACAAAGTTTTCCTGTCATCTGCTGCCTGTGCTCCTCCCTGTAATCCTGATGCCTTTGTTTGATAGTGTGAGGCTATTGGTATGCTTGTGCTAAAGAGCTATTGCTCCATCTCTCCTCTGCTGCTCCACACCTCCTCTTTAGAGTGGCAATATCACGGCAAATCGTCAGAAATTCAGTGCAGGATCTGCTGCCCCGCGGACCTGCAGCCTGCTGCAGAGTCGTGTTCTCAGCAAGTTCTTGTTTGTAGCTCTCATTTCTCTGCTGGAGACCAGAAAGTCTTGTCTGCTGGCGATCACATTGTGCCTTCTCTTTTTATTGCAGTATATCCATTCAGCTGGCATCATACACAGGGTGAGTTCATGTGTGCCTTTCCTCAGCTTTTTGTCTGTTTAGGAGAAACACAGCTTGGTTGTAAAGTGAAGAAATTCCTAAACATCTTTTCACTAACAGCCTTCTCTGCTCTAAGGTCTTTCTCCTCCTATACCCTGTGTCTGTTTGGATTTGATCATTCGTGCAGCTTTTGAGGAAACGCTGTATTTTCTGATGAGCTGAGAAACGTTTTATGATGCTTTTTGAATTGAAACTATTTGAGAAAAAATCAGTAGTGTAAAGCTGTACAGTATAGCAGCACGGTGACTGCTGTGCAGACACTGGAGTTGGGATGTTATGGGACCCTGTCAAAGGCAAGCAGAGGTTTGGCTGAGGCTCATGTGGATGTGTTGCAACCCCAGACATCCTCATGACTCCACTCTTGTCTGTTGTAGGACCTGAAGCCAGGCAACCTGGCTGTGAATGAAGACTGTCAGCTGAAGGTAGGTGGAAAAGCACCACTTTGCAGCATATCAGATCATGGAGGAACTGCTCTGCCAGCAGGAATTTGGCACTGTCATGTTTCCTCTCTCCTTCTGAGACCCGGTTCAAGGCGTTGCATTACTCAGCGGTTGCAGGCAGTGGGAAATACTCACCTGCTGATGTAACTTGCTGAATCAGGGCCCAAGACTTGGAATGAACATCCTGTTGTCATAATTCCTGCTTCTTGGCAGTTCCTAATGACTTCCTAAGTAAATTCAATACTGCTGAGCAATACTTGTGTTAGGTGTACTATCCCTGAAGGATAACTGCAGTCAGCCACAGTTGCCCTTTGGTTCTCATTGACGTGGTGGTTGTGATTCCACACAAAGCTATTTTCAGTATTGCTCTGAGGAGTTTCCTTGCAGCTCAGTGGTGCAGTGCTCTGGCACCTCTCTTCTGCAATGTGTATTACAGGGCACGGCTGGAGAGGTTGGGTCAAGGGACATTCATTTCCAGTATTGAGGGAGAGGCCATTGCCAGTGAGCTGCAAGGTGTTTTGATAGGAAAAGGTGAGTAGCGGTGGCCTGTGAGCTGTCAGGCTATGAAACAGCTCAATTAAATAAAGCTCATAGAGTTGAAACTTAAGCTTCAAGAAAAGAAATGACCTTTCAGGTAGCTCACAGCACTGATCCTTTTGGCAGGGTCTTCACGCAGCTGGTTTTGCAGCCAGGTTGCAATTCCCAAGGGAATTAAGACAAACCTGTTAGTTCTTTGAACTGTCCCGTGGGTGGCTGTGGTGTAGTTGGAGCTTCCTTATTATCTCATTGGATCTGCTTTGTTTCCTTGTGGAAGCAGATTCTTGCTTGCCTGTATGATTTCTGTTTTCTGCCTTTCCTTCTCCCTTTTCCTTTGGTGAACTGCAGATCTTGGATTTTGGTTTGGCCAGACATGCTGATGCTGAAATGACCGGCTACGTGGTTACGCGCTGGTACAGAGCCCCAGAAGTCATTCTGAACTGGATGCATTACAACCAGACAGGTGAGCAGCAGCGTGACTGCCTGGTGACAAGCCCAGGGATCCCTGGACCACACCTGGGTCACATCTCGTATAATCCTCCAGATGTTTTCCCTCTTTATCATCTGTATTCCCTAAAGCAGAGCGAGTCTCAAAGCTGTTGCACGACTCCCAGAGCTCGTGCCTGCGGGAAGTGATGAAAGCAGAGATTTTAGCAGTGTAGAAACAACAGGGGAGGGTGGAAAATGGGAGTGACATTTAAACTGGTGCCTGCTACAAGCAACAAAGCAACAGCCCAGCAATCATGGCTGCCTTTTTACTGCCATGGTTTTGTCTGTTTTGCTCTCTGAACAGTGGATATCTGGTCTATTGGCTGTATCATGGCAGAAATGCTGACTGGGAAAACGCTGTTTAAAGGAAAAGACTGTATCCTTTCAAGTTAAACCTTTTCTCTGGGGGGAGTAATAGTTCTTGGGGGGTGTGAAGGGGCTTTTATGAATGAGGAAAGCAGGAGTCAGTCTGGTTTACCAGGAGGTAATTGCATGGAAATGGAGAGAATGGGAGGAGGCCAAGCCAGCCTTAGAAATACACCTCTGTGCTGGCCATATGTGCTCTATGTCAGTCTACTTCACATAGCCATAGCTCCATCCCCAAAACCTCACATATCCCCCAAGCCCATGGCATACCCCTGGCAGAGTTGTGCCAGCAATATTGCCTGTTGCTGAAAATGGCATTCCAAGAAAAAAGCCCTTGAGCTGTTTCTGTCAGTCTCCTGAGTCTCTGCTTGTGTGGCTCTGTTGGGTTTGTATCATAACCTACTCCCAGCTCCCCCGGGCCCTGTGGCTCTGCAGCACCCAGCACACAGGCTGAGCTGCTGGCGGTGTCCAGGGCTCACCCCCAGATGGGTGATCTTTAACACAGCTGCCAGACCTGGATCAGCTGACTCAGATCCTGAAAGTAACGGGGCACCCAGGAGAAGACTTCGTGGAGAAGCTGGAGGACAAAGCGGTAAGGAAGTTCCCTGTGGATTTGAGCCTTGCTGTGTGTGGTGAAGAGGGGTTACCTTGGCCATAGCTTTGAGATGGGAGAGGGGCTGCTTGTCCACCACCAAAGAGGAGTGACTGCCAGCAGTCTTGTTCCCCATGACAAGGAAGATGCTTCTCTTTGCTAGTGGAACATCTGATGGATTTGGCATTGCACTGGGAACTGGTGTGGATTGCAGGGACACCCGAGTGAGGTCCCTGATGCCCCAGCAAACTAACAACCTCCTCTGTTCTCCAGTTTGGCCCTTAAAGCAGAAATATTTCTGTATCGCAGTTGATTAAAATGATTCCACGCAAACTGGTGACTAAAATGTGGCATCTGGGGTGACTTGCTGTTCTCTTCAGTTGCCTTTGCTCAGCTGAGCCCCGAGTCCCAACAGCTGTATCTCACACCACCTCACATCTGCTCTTCACATCTCTTTCAGGCCAAGAGTTACATCAAGTCTCTCCCTAAAATCCCCAAGAAGGATTTGTCTGTGCTTTTCCCCAGAGCCAATCCTCAGGGTAAGTCATCTCCAGGGTTTCTCAGGAGTTCTCACTGCTGGAAGGGGGCAGGTTGGCCACTACAGTGCCAGGCTTCTTTCTCCTTCTCACAATTTCCTCGTACTTCCTCCCTTGCAGGTTGGTGTCCCTGGGCACATAAGTAGGAATTAAAGGCAAAATGACTCTTTGCTGGTGTTAACATGGCAATGTTCTGCTGTTCTTAGCTATTTACTTCTTTAAGTTTAAAATGGCACAGCCTGTAACACACAATATTTGAGGAAGAGAGAAACTTCTGACTCATCAACAAGCCAGAAGAGAGCTGGTGCTGGATTGAACAGGATGTTGAGATTATGGGATGCAAGTTGTGGGATTAGGACAGCTGCATTATCAGCTCCATTTGGTATGAGAGTTGGGATAAATTTTGGCCAGTATTGGTTTGCAGAAGTTGTTCCTTGTAGCCAAGCAGGTGCTATGTGATCAGTAGTGTTCAGATAAACAAACCACCTCTTCTTTGTTCATCATTATTTCCCAGCTCCACATCAAAGGCATCATAGTTCTGATAAACTGTTATTTCTATTAACTCTAAACTGTTGAAAACCTGGATCTGTTCACCCAAGAAGCACAATTTTCAGGGCAAAAACTGATCTCTTGCAAGGAACAATTTTCCTGAGCAGATGAGAGGCAAAACTACTGTAAGATCTGAAAGTATTAAGATGTTAAAACCAAGGGGGGATGGGGCAGACAGACTAGAGGGTATCTGCATTTCCTGCCTTCATGTTTACCAGTGATGCATAGATTTCTGTATAGATTACCCATGTTAAGAGTGCTTGGAGTTGTGGGGGCCTAAGTGAATGACTAAAACTGAAAACTATCTTGAAGTTGCTGATTTCTTACGTTCTTTCAGCCCCATCTGTGCAGCAAGACTTATTCAAGATTAAATTGATATTTCTGCACCATTTACGTCTCCAGCTCTGTTAGTAAGAGCTCCCTGAGGCTGCTATTGGGCAGACTTTGCATCCCCTCCGATGGGAGCTCCACACTCCCCTGGTCAGGCTGAGGAATCTCTTTTAGGTCTGGAGATGTAGTGTTGGGAGCACCTGTCCTGGCACAGGATGCCTGTTCTCCACCAACACCTTGCTTAGCCCTTTTCCTGTCTTCTGCAGCAGTGGACCTGCTTGACAAGATGTTGCAGCTGGATGTGGAGAAGCGCATGACAGCCACGGAAGCGTTGGCTCACCCCTATTTTGACCAGTTCCGAGACGTTGAGGAGGAGACAGAAGCACAGGAGTCTTACGACGATTCTCTGGAACACGAGAAGCTTTCCATAGATGAGTGGAGAAGTAAGAAGTTTTTCTTTGAAGCTCTTGTTTAGCACGGGACTTCCCTACCCCTCTCTCTTTCCTGTACACCAGCTATAGAGCCAGGCTGAGAGAGCTGGGCTTGTTCAGCCTGCAGAAGAGAAGGCTCCTGAAGGGGAGACCTTAGAGCAGCTCCAGTGCCTAAAGGGGCTGCAGGAAACCTGGAGAGGGGCTTTGGACAAGGGCCTGTAGGGACAGGCCAAGGGGAATGGCTTTAACCTGACAGAGGGGAGACTGAGCTGAGCTCTTAGGCAGAAGCTCTTCCCTGTGAAGGTGCTGAGGCGCTGGCACAGGGTGCCCAGAGAAGCTGTGGCTGCCCCATCCCTGGCAGTGTTCAAGGCCAGGTTGGACACAGGGGCTTGGAGCAAGCTGCTCTAGTGGAAGGGGTCCCTGCCTGTGGCAGGGGTTGGAGCTGAATGAGCTTTAGGGTCCCTCCTCACTCTAGCCATTCTGTGATTCTATGCTGGGTAAAGCATAGATTGATGATGGCAGCGCATAGCTCCCTTGCCCTGCTCTGCTTTTATGCATTCAGCAAAGGTTCCTCCAGCTCTTCAGGCAGACTTTTGTCTCTGTCTGCTTTGTCTCTCTCTTCCAGCTTCTGTAACCTCTTGCCCTAACCTCTCCACTGAACACCTCCTCTCTGCACAGAAAACACTCACACTTTCATTTGTGTCCTCTAATATCACACCTTCCTGGTTCTTTTGTTCTGTTTTTCAAGAGCATATTTACAAGGAGATCTTGTCCTTCAGTCCCATTGCACGGAAGGACTCAAAGAAGCGGAGTGGGATGTCGTTATAGCGACTGGTATGGCTGTGGCTGAGATTCCCTGCTGGATCATGGATCAGGTTTACTCCACGCTGTTGTGCTGGTGGCCAGTGTTTGGCCTGTGGGACTGCTCTGTGTGCCAGCACAAGGATGACGCTATGCTGTGAGCACTGGACTTTGGTCTACTAAAGGGGGAAGCACCCCAAGCAGTTTTCAACACAAAAGATAAAATACATTCTCATTGCAACTTCGACTGGGAGAATTTTACCTGGTGTTTATTTTTTTTATTCATTTTTTTCATGTTTGTCCACTTGAGAGCTCCATTCTCATTAGTTTTTCCAAGCACAGCTTTTAGTACATCAATTAAGGATAAGGTCAAGGAAAAGGGAATACTGTCTGGGAAGTGAGTCCCAGCCAAAATGATTGGAAATAGTGAAATTCAGCACAAGAAGTTCTAACTCTGGGAGCGTTCCCTGTCCCTGAGCAGTCCCACAGCACCCAGCACAGTGATGCTCCTGGGATGGTGTCGGCTGCAGGATACTGTGGGAACCCAGTCCATCATGCGAAGGGTCTGTGTTCAGAGCAACTCCAAGCTTGCTGTAACAGCTCCCTGTGCTTCCTCCTCCACTGCCTTCTCTTCTTTTACTCTGCTTATTCCATCCCCTGATCAGTGCTGTCTCCTTATTGCCAGCTGGAAACGCACCCTGGGAGCTCAAGGCCACTTCCCACCCTGACAGACCAGGTATCCCAAGGACCTGGGTTCTGCTCAGTCTGCTTTCCCCAACGGTTCTCTCTTCACCACCCTTATCTCTTGCTGAGCACCCTCTCCCTGGGGTAACTGCCTGTCTCTTGGAAGGGCTGGTGACATGAGCCCTTATATTCTCATTCTTCTGCCCTGTGGGATCAGTTAAAGCAGGGATCCTCTGCTTCAGTTCTCTTTAACAGCTGCTTGTTCCTCAATAGGAAGAGACATTTCAACTGGTCATTTGGAAAACAGTCAATTGTCAGGGCTAAAGCTCAGCTCATATACTGGAGGGGAAGGAAGTATGTTGCATGAACAATCAAGCGTTAGAAAGGGGAACGCAATAATTCAGCTTGGTGAGCACAGAAAACTTCAGATACCTTAGTTTCTTGGTATAAGATCAGCTTCTTCAGTTGGCATCATTATAAATTGCATCTAAGGTAAACTCATGAAATAGAATATCTCACAAAACCCACCACAGGCTACAGAACATCCTTCTGAATAAGAGCTTCAGCCCCTTCACTGCGCTTCCACTGAGGGTTTGACTTTTTTGTCTGCCTATGCAAATTTTAATTCATTCACTTACTTAGTGAATAATTCTTGGTAGCTACAAGAAGTCACCTTCTGAGATGCTTGGGGTGGGATGGAGAGCATGTGTCTCCCCAGCCTGCTGCGTACAAACCTGTTCTGCCTTCAGCAGGTACAGAGCTTTCTACGGGGTGAAAAACAACACAACAGTCTTTGGTTTTTCTCCTGGATGGGGACCAGAAAAATTGTAGGATGATGTGAGAAGATCCAGACAACTTGACTGGATTGAATTGCTTTGCAAATGTGTTCAGATAACCAGAGGGAGGTGGTTTTCTGAACACAGACCAACCAGGCAGTAGTCTGGTTCCTCCCTCCAGGGCCAGTTTGTTCCATCTTTTAGTTGTACACTAAAGTCATTCAAATTTAAAAGTATGTTCTCTCTGCAAAGAGAATTAGAGTCATGGAATGGTTTGGCTTGGAAGGTATGTTAAAGCTCATCCAGCTCCAACCCCTGCCACGGGCAGGGACCCCTTCCATAGAGCAGCTTGCTCCAAGCCCCTGTGTCCAACCTGGCCTTGAACACTGCCAGGGATGGGGCAGCCACAGCTTCTCTGGGCACCCTGTGCCAGCGCCTCAGCACCCTCACAGGGAAGAGCTTCTGCCTAAGAGCTCATCTCAATCTCCCCTCTGGCAGGTTAAAGCCATTCCCCTTGGCCTGTCCCTACAGGCCCTTGTCCCAAGCCCCTCTCCAGGTTTCCTGCAGCCCCTTCAGGCACTGGAGCTGCTCTCAGGTCTCCCCTTCAGGAGCCTTCTCTTCTCCAGGCTGACCCAGCCCAGCTCTCTCAGCCTGGCTCCAGAGCAGAGCTGCTCCAGTCCTCACAGCATCTCCATGGCCTCCTCTGGAAGCTCAAGAAGACCCACATCCTTCTTGGGTTGGGGACCCCAGAGCTGATGATTTTGTACACCATACATCTCAGTAGTCCTTTTGAAATACAGCCCATACCCACTTTTGTGGCTTATTCTGAAACCAGGTCACTGCTATTTCTTGACTGCAGTGCTAGGCAGGTACAGCTTCTAGTTGTGATAATACCTTTGGACTGCAGCATTAATATCTTCTTAGTTGGCATCTTCTTCCCTATTGCAGTCTGTCAGGTTCAGCCAGTCATTCCAGAATCTATCCCAAGGGACATGTGCCGAGTGACAAGTGTCTTTTCTGTGTGAGAGCTTGGAGCTACAGATAACTATTAGTTGAGAAGCACATGAACTTGGTCATACAGGCAGTAGCTTCCAACTCTCCACCCCTTCTGTAGCTGTTGAGTCATTCTGGTTTGGTTAGCTGGGACATTACTTTTGATAACTCTCTCATTTTCTACTTTGCCTTAAGCAATATCCAGGTTTGCTGCCCAGACCTCAATGAAGGGAAAACTCCAGCATTACCAGAACTTTCTGAGTTCTCATCTCCATCAGGAACCAGACAAGATGATGTTGCATCTCTCTGCAGCAGCTCACGTACTCGAGTAACCCCCAGTGCCTGCAGTGGTTTGATATGAGGGTGCTGATGTTATCCTGCTGCAGCTGCACAGATGTTCTGTGCTGATGTGATGCTGCTTCTCTTGACCCCTATCTCCCTGGGCCATGCACAAGTCCTTTGCCTTGCTCTGCTCTTAGGCAGGGCCAGCAAGCACAGAACCGTGGCAATGTTCCCACAATTCTCTTGAAATGCAGTGAGTTGGGTACAAAGCCCTCCAAAGGTGGTGTCCTGCTGACTTTCTCTTGAAGAACCCCAGCTTGATGAGCATAAGGGATCATCCTCCCTTTTTTCTAAGCATGAGACAGCCTTGGGCAGTGGAAGGGGGAAGGTTCAGCTGCACTGGTCAAAAGCAGTTGAAATGTCCTCTTGAACCTGGCACCTGCCTTGGCTGCTGTGGCCTCCATGTGATTTTTAACAGAGGTAAGAGAGGAGCTCGCTGCTGCTGCCACAGACATCTAGGAGAGCTGCAGACATTTAGAGCTGCCTGTGCCCTGGGGAAGCGAGGCTTGGTGGGCAGCAGTGGTAGGTTGTCATCCAGCTCTGTGTGTGTGAATGCTCGGGGAGGTGTCTGAGGACATGGCCAGGCCTGACTCTACTTCACGTGACACAGAGAGGCAGGGAAGAGTTGTAAAAGCTCACTCTTGTGGAGGAAATTGAGTAGATCTATGGAAGCTTTAGGAGTACAGAGCTTGCTTTCAGAAAGTCATCTGTTAAGGGAAAGAACCTGTTCAGACAGAACTCATAAACTGCTTTAAATGGGAATTCAGGATTGATTTCTTCATCATCTTGCCCCTCTTCAAAAGGGGATGGGCAGACCTGAAGAGGTCTGGAGTTACCTGGTGCTCTGTCGTGATAGCTGAGGGAGAAAACATCTCTGTGATAAATGAATGTCCTGAGCAGTCTACTGGCAGTTGAAAAGGAGCCTCTGTAGTTTTAAATAATAATGTGTTCCAAAGGGGAATTGTCTGTCTACCAGATAAAGAGGTACTGGGGACTTCTGATCTGAATGCGTGTGAGAAGAACAAGGGTGAACACAACCTAGTGGGTTATGCGGGGCTTGGAACTAAATGATCTTAATGTCCTTTACAACCCCAGCCAGCCTGGGATTCTATGCAGATTTTGCTGTTAGCAAAAGCAAATACAAGTCCCGCTTGCTTCAGGGCTGTGAAGTCTCCTCAGCATCTGTCCTTCTGCTGAGTACACTTCCAGGAAACACCTTGTGTTTCAGGGACTGGGTTTCTCAGCAGGTTTTCTCTTTTGAGAGTTCCTTCTGAAACCTCAAGAGCAAACCCCAACAGCCAGTGTGTGGGTTTCATCATTCCCCCACCAACCCCATGCAGTGAGGGCACACTGTCCAAAAGCCAAACCATTCCTCTGCAATTCCCAGTATCCTGACAAATACAGGGAGCTGGTGCTCTGCAAGCCCACAGCGCTGGAACTGTGCTTGGGTTTGTGGTATGCACCAGGCAAGAACTCAGCATAGATGGCAGGAAATGGAGCAGGTTGGAGTGGAAAGAGTCCCTCTCTGTGAAGACCAACCATCCCAGGGCTCCTGCAGCATCTGACGACTCACTGCAGTGAAGAGGAATGAGCTGCTTAAAAGGGAAACAAAAATCACGCTCACATTTCATGAAAGGAGATTGAAAAGCAGCCAGTCACCCCAAGTGGTGAGTCAAATAGTCCGGACTCCACTCAAGAAACAGGGAGCCCCTGACAGACCCCATTAGGCAAAGAAGAAATCCTCTTGTGCCAGCTGGCTGACCTGCATACTTTTGTTAGGTTTTTTCCCCCTTGCATAGTTTACATACTTAAAAATACAAAAGTGAGTGATAAAACTCATTCAACCATTAAGTGAACATTCAAAATCCCATAAATGAGGCTGGCCAGAATTAAGTTTCCTGTATGTATGAAGGATGTGTGATAAAAATGGGGACGGATCGAATGTTTGTCTCACCTAATGTGCAGATGTTTCTCTTGAAATACTATTTACTTGGTTTTCCTACATTTATTTCTGAGATTATTATCTCAGCTTTAGTTCTGCTTGCAAAGTGAAGCCTTTACTATAACCAATCCTTCCGTGTAAGACTTGTTGCCAGCTAGTTAGGTGTGTGAAGTTGCAGTTATATGGGATGGATTTATTAGGGACTTCCAGATGTAAGTGGGAAAGAAAAAGCAGATGAAGCAATGATTACTATTACTTTATTTTTATTTTTCCTTTCTTAAGAGACACCACAAAATGACCAGGATTGTTTTTAAGAGATACGATGTTTACAATGCTTTAGGCACCATCCAGAAACCTTTTGGTGTGGAGCTGTGAAACCATCTCCAGCCTCTTAGAAAACTGCATGCTTGCCCTATAGGAAATGGTTGGACTTGATGATCTATAAAGGTCTTTTCCAACCTGGTTGATCCTCTGATTCTGTAAAAACATCTGAGAATCTGGTTTCCTGTTGAACCTTTTCACATTCTAGGTGCAGACTAAACAAATAATTTCCAGGTTTGAAGTGTCTGATAATGGAAGAGCAGAAAAACCTAGAAAATAATGAATACAACTGAGAACTCTAGTGAGATATCCCCAGAGGCTGGGACGCTCAGCAAGTCTCTGATGACTCTGAGCTGTGTGGTGCAGTCAACATGCTGGAGGGAAGGGATGGGATGGGATCCAGAGGGGCCTGGACAGGCTGGAGAGGTGGGACCATGGGAACCTCGTGGAGCTCATTAAGTGCAAGCTGTTGCTCCTGGGTCGGGGCAGTCCCAAGCACAAACTCAGACTGGGGAAGACTGGATGGAGCAGCCTGAGGAGAAGGACGTGGGGGTGCGGTGTTGGGTGTGGAGAAGCTCCTCATGACCCATTAGTGTGTGCTCACAGCCCAGAACCTGCCCTACCATGTGCCGGGCTGCACCCCAGAGCATGAGTGGCAGCTCAGGGAGGGGATCCTGCCCCTCTGCTGTGCTCTGGGGAGACCCCCCCTGCAGCCCTGATCCAGCTCTGGGGCAGCAGCACAAGAGGGACGTGGAGCTGTTGGAGCGAGGCCAGAGGAGGCCATGGGGCTGCTGCAAGGGCTGGAGCAGCTCTGCTCTGGAGGTGAAAGTCTGAACAAAGACCAGAATAGCCACTACTAACTGACTGATCCCCAAAACTGATGAACACACACTGCACTAATTGCAGTGACCACAGAATCATTTAGGTGAGAAAGGACCTTTAAGATGGAATCCAACACTCTGAAGATGTTAAGAGTTCCCAGGTGAATGTGGTTTATGGGCTGTTTTGCCCAATTTCTCTCAAAAAGGCTATTCCCAAGCACATGGGTTTATAAGCTTTTAATGCAAGGTTCAGGCAGTGCTGCTTCACAACCCATTCAGTCAGCACTTAGGCTGATGGATAACTCTCTTATTAGATTGTGCTCTATTAAATAATGCTGTAAGGTTACTATAGATCTTCAACCCTCATTGATTTCCTGTTAAGTGGAAGTGAATTCACTTCTTTTAGCCAAGTTTGGTTGAAAAAACAAAAACCCTCCCACCATCAATCATCATTTCAGCTCCATCTTCAGAACACTTTACCTGAAGAAAGGTTTGAAAACTGGGATTTGCATGTTAAGATTAAAAAGAACATCACTGAGGAGATGGTGTTTGTGTCACCTCTGATGATCCACACTCACCCAGAAAGTGCAGTTGAGCACTTGCAAATCCAGTAGCCAAGGCAAATCTCTCAGAGAAACCAGACTTTCAACTGTTCAGGAGCATGAGGCCTTTTTAGCACTTGCATTGATTTCAACTATTCTGAATTAAAACCCAGAGCAAACACTTGAGGCAGAGGCAACAGCAGTGCTCATTGATGAGGCTTAATGAATCATCAATCAAAAAAGGGTAATGCTCAATTCCAAATAATTTTCTCCCCCTTTGAAGTCTGTTTTATACATCTCAATAAAGATGAGGACAACTGGAGTATGACTGAAGGTGCCCAACTCTGTTTGAGCCCCCTTGGTTCTGGAGCTCACCAAGTGTAGGTGATGCCCAGCACCAGCTTCCTGTTCTGTCAGGCTGATTTCATTTGAAATCATTGCACCCTTTTAAACCTGGGAGAGCATCAAGGACCTGAGTTGAGTTGTGCGTCTAGGATTTGAGAATTCAAATGAGAATCAGCTCAGAATGGCAGTGGGTTGTTGTTTTGTTTTTTTTTTAAAATAACACATTAGTCCCACAGCTCTACTATAAGCCTACATGAGGGATAACTTGTTTTGACCTTGTAACATGTGGCCCCCAACCTTCAGAGGTATCTGTGTATTGCACTGTTCACAAATCATCCTCCTGAACCCTGAAGGGCTCTTCACATCCTTTGCATGAACAAATCTTTGCAAGAGGGAACCTAATGTGGCTGTATCTGGCCAGTTCCAGTGCAACTCCAACGAGTATAAAGCTTCAGAATTAAAAGTTTGCAAAAGCTTATCATATTTTAAACAAAAACAGACACCAAAAGTGCTAGGAAAAATGGAATCAAATACAGTTAAAATCAAGTTGTCGCATGAAGAAGGCAAGTGAAATAGTGATTCACTTATTGAAATGATTTAATGTACAGGTTAACTGGCTTCCCAGCTTGGAAGCAGGAACAGCTACAGATTATATACAGACCATGCTGTTGCACTGTTCTCCTGGGTTAGATAAGACCTTCATAAATGAATGAGACTTGTGGCACTTTAAATCTTTGATGGTTTATTTTTCATACAGGACAAGAACAGAATCTATTCTTTTTGGAGCTGTGATGTGGGAACAGTAGATTCTTTAAAAGGTATATACAAAAGGAATACTTAGAGGTTGACATGTAAGGCTGCTCAGCAGTAATGTGTTTTCTCATGCTTTTAAGACTTCAACCAGCTCTGGTCTGCCCCGCTTACTTCCCAATAGATTTGGCATAGACTGGCTGCTCTCAGATTCCATACCTAACATAGGTTAAGAAACAAAATGATTTATAGTTGGATGGGAATGAGGGAAAATATCATTTTTTTTTTCCCATTTCTGTTAATTCTATGAATTCCGATTATGCAATGCTCTGCACGATACGAGTGGGAGGTGGAGCGTACATCTGCCCAAGTATGTGCTGTGCTCTATAAAAAGTAAGTGTAGGAGCCTCTGCAGCTCCTACCTCACCACTTATCTCAGCTGCAAACAGAATTTCAGCCTTGCTGGTCCCTCTCTTGCTACCCTTCCACCTTGTCACAGCTCCTCACACCTCAGGAAGCCAGCTGGACCTCAAGGCTCACACTACAAAATAAACACGGACTCCTATTATTCCCCTCATTTGTTTGAGGGTGCTTGTTTGGGCTAAAGGCGGTAGAGCTGAGGCTGCAAGGGCTGGGCTCTCCTGCCTATTCTGAAGTTCGCAAAAAGCGGGTGCGGGATGAGGGCACCCCAACGAGCAAGGCCGCAGGCTGCCCAGCGCCGGTGGCGCCGGCGTTCCCTTAGCAGCAGCGCTCCGGATTAAGGGATGCCGAGCAAACCCCAACCCCGAGGAAGGGGGCAGCCCCTCCGCCCGAAGCCGGGCCCGTACCCGGCTCCTCTCCGCCTCGCCTGGCACGGCGGTAGCGGACCCCCCCCCCACTCCGTGCGGCCAGCGCTGAGGGACTCCCCCCACTCCCCGCCGTTCCCCGCAGCCCCCCGGGGGCCTCCGCGCCGCGCGGCCCGGGGGTGGGAAGGGACCGGGGAGGGGCGGGCGGTCCCTGCCCGCGGGGGGGAGCGAAGCGCGGCAGCCCCCTCCCCCGCCTGCCCGCTGGCTGCCGCCTTCCCTCGCCGCTCGGCCGGGCTACGCCGCCGCTGCCACCACCAACCCCGCCGCCTCCATCTTGTGCGGGTGTCCCCTGCGCGCCCCCCCCTTTGCCTCCGCACGGCACCGAGAGCGGCGGCAGCCCGGGGAGGGGGTGAAGGGGGAGGCTGCTGGGGGGGAGGGGGGTGTTGGGGGGAGAAGCGGCACCGGGGCAGGAGCGGCGGCGGCAGCGGCATGAGGAGGCGGCGCTGAGGCGGCGGCGGTAGCCGGAGCGGACGGAGCCGACATCTTGTGCCCTCCCCTCCCGCCGCCGGCTGGGTGAGCCCGTCCGCCCCTGGGGGGAGGGGAGGGGGAGGCGGAAAGAGGATATAAAAAAAGAGGAAAAAAAAAAAAAAAAAAGGAAAAAAATAACATTAAAAAAAATATCCCCCAAAGGAGGCGGCGGCAGCGGCGGAGCCCGCACTGAGGCGGCCAGGTAACGCGCTGCGCGGGAGCCCGCGACACCCTTCCCTCAGGGGGTCTCTCCTCCCTCACGCACCCCCCGCGCCGGGGTCGCGGGAAGGTGACCGGGAGGGCGGGAAGGAGTCGGGGGAGGCCGGTGCGCCGCAGCCTGCGGAGCCTTCACCCCCGTTCGGTCCCCGCGCGGCGGGAGCGGCTCCGCGGCCTCTCGCTGAGGGACGAACGGCGGCGGCGGTGAGGAGCGCCCGCGGATGGGGAACGGGCATCGCCGTGTCAGCCGGGCCCCCCCCGCGTCGCCATGTTGCCCTCCCCTTTCGCGCTGCTCGGGGGGGGGGGTCCCCGCCCACCTTCTCCCACGCTATTGGCCCAGGCGGGGCTGAGGGCGCCCTCCCGTTAGAGCAGCAAAGCCCTGCGCTGCTATTGGTGGTGGGGTTGGGATGGGCGGCGGTGGCAGCCAATAGCCTTTGGCGCTGCCTGCGCTGTCGCTCGCTCGCTCCTCCTCTCGTTCCGTTCTCCCTCGGCATGTTTTTCGCTCCCGGGGCCGGTGCCGCGGTGCTGAGCCTGGAGCGGCCCGGTCCCGGCGGGGTCCCTGCTGCGTCTTGACCCGCATCACTGGCTGCTAATGGGGCTCCCTGCAGGCAGCCCGTGGCCCTCACTGTGCAGGGTAGCTCCAGCCCAGCGCTAAACACCACTCATGGCGTTTCACGGTTCCACCAGCTGCTGCTGAGGCTGGACACAGGTGGTGTGCGCTGTGATCTGTTGCTAAGCTCACACTTTACCTTAAGCTTCATTCTCAGCCCAGCATAATCATAGAATCCCAGACTGGTTCGTGTTGGAAGGGACCTTAAAGCTCATCCAGCTCCAACCCCTGCCACGGGCAGGGACCCCTTCCATAGAGCAGCTTGCTCCAAGCCCCTGTGTCCAACCTGGCCTTGAACACTGCCAGGGATGGGGCAGCCACAGCTTCTCTGGGCACCCTGTGCCAGCGCCTCAGCACCCTCACAGGGAAGAGCTTCTGCCTAAGAGCTCATCTCAGTCTCCCCTCTGGCAGGTTAAAGCCATTCCCCTTGGCCTGTCCCTACAGGCCCTTGTCCCAAGCCCCTCTCCAGGTTTCCTGCAGCCCCTTCAGGCACTGGAGCTGCTCTCAGGTCTCCCCTTCAGGAGCCTTCTCTTCTCCAGGCTGCCCCAGCCCAGCTCTCTCAGCCTGGCTCTAGAGCAGAGCTGCTCCAGCCCTCGCAGCATCTCCATGGCCTCCTCTGGACTTGCTACAACAGCTCCACGTCCCACAAGGGTATTGCTGCCCCAGAGCTGAACCCCGTATTCCAGGTGTCCTCAACACAACAGTTGAGGACACTTTCAGCAGACGGGGCAAGTGAATTAAAAGTTGAAACTCACCCTAGAATTGTCTCACACTGTCCCTGCTCCAGCAGGAGGTGCTCTCTTGTGGCCTGGTGCCTCTCCTGTCAGCTCAGCTTGGCTACAGGAGTATTGGGGTGCCTATAAAGATCTCTGTGTATGCTGGGGCACGTGACTCTTGGCGGTGTTTGCTGAGCATTGACACACTTTGTTGTAGATGTCAGCATGGGCGTGGGGAGCATAAACCCTCGGCAGGAACATGAGGTGACTATGGCCCCAGGGAGAGCATGGAACATGGAGGGACATTGGCAAGGGCAGCAGGAGTTTCACCTGCATTTTGGTTGGCAAAGGAAAGGTGGAAATGGGGCTGCGACTGTTCCAGGGTGTTTTTCCCTCTGGCATCCATTGCTTTTAATTTATTGATGTGTTTCTTATATAGCTCCATGGGTGTCTGTTCCCCACGGCGCAGGAATGGGTTTTAAAAGGCAAGAAGCAGCTGCCCGGAGCTGCGTGGCTGGCAGCACAGGACAGCGATGCAGAGGAACATCTCCAGACCTCATGTTTGACTTCATGTCCTGAAGAGTGGCAGATTTTGGTAACCTTGAACCTCAAACTGTTTAGGGCTGTATGAGCTGTAGCCACTGCCAGTAATAGTGGTGCACCAGAGTGGAATGAGAGCCACGTTGTTCCCATCTGCTGCAATCACTGAAGTTCTTCATCATGGAGGAGCCTAGTTCTTCACTGGGATCACCAAGCTGTGCTGGGAAGGGCCAGGAAACTTCCCCAGCAGCGCTGCCTTGAACTTCAGCTTGTGTCCGTGGCAGGTTAGCAAAGAAACCTGGTGCTGGAAAGCAGCTCCTTGGTTGTTCAGTGTGGGAAGGCTGGAAAAGGACTGCAGTGGGAAGGAGGGGTGGGAAGGAGGCAGAAGTCTTCTGCGGTGCAAGAGGGTTCCTTTGACCTTGGGTACAGCCAACACAGTTGCATGGGTGTAAATTACAGCAGCATTTAGCCCTTTAGAGGATCTGCTTGCACTGGATTTTCCAGTCTGTGTGTATAATAGGGGCCTGTATTGTGATGCTGTTTAGTACATGGATCTCTCAGGTTTTTTTCCCGTGGAGCTTTTGACCCATTTGTACTAGATTTAAGTCTCCTGATGGCAGGCTTATGTTTTTTCAGTCACCTTTGCAGCCCCTCCCCCTGGCATCTCTGGCTCACCAGTGTGAAAGCTGCTGCTCAGGAGAGCTGAACAGGTCCTGAGCAAACACCATGGGTAGAATTTAAGTTCATCCCCGTGGCTTTGTGCATTCAGCCACTTTGCTCAGTTGTGTTCTCTAGGAACCTCACCCCCTGCTCCTGGCACGGTACCCAGCAGAAATGGATGATGGGAGCGTGTTTGGAAAGCCTTGAGCACGCTGGTGACAACGAGGGGACAGCTGAACTTTCTTCTTTCACCTCATCAACCTTTGTCCATGGTGGGGCAGAACCCTCATGGGTTGCAACAGCATTTAGCCCCACTGAAGCCAAGTCTGTTCAGCATTTCAGTGTGCACAGGTGCTGTTTGCAGAAGGATTCTTTTTTATCTGTGACTGGGAGGTGTTTTCAAGTGTGCCACGAGGATCAAAACGTTCCTAGATTGCTGCTTCAAAGTTTCTGTTGCTGCAGGCAAGGTCACAGGGTTCAGTGCTCAGTGCGTCTGAGCTGTTTCATTGCTGCTTTCAAGGTATTTTGGAAGTGGGTAGTTCTGTCTCTCCTAGTATCTGGGTGCATGTCTTATCCTGGGCACTCAGTTCTTGCTGGCAGAGATTTCAGTTCTGGTTTAGATGCTTCTGTGTAGCACTAAGGAATTGTGTGTTTTACAAATGGGTTGGTTTATGGCAGTGGTGGAAATCCCACTTCGGGTAATTTTGCTAGACAATACACTGATAGTTTCACTAAAGCGTCAGGAACCCCAAAGCCTTTGTTTTTCCTTTCAAGATCTAAAATAGACCTTCCTTAAGATGCTTGTTCCACTGGAATTTGCTCATGCTTCAGCACTCCCAGCTAACACCTTGTTTTTCCTGAACACAGTATTAATGATGAGTGTGGTCAGCTCATGCTACTTACTTTGTCCTCCAATATCTTTCTTCTCATATACCTTTTTTGCCTCCAGTATCTTCAGAATTTGGTACTTCTCTCTGGAATAAGCTTCTGGAAGGGACTTATTGTAGGTCCTGGTCCTGCAAGGCTCTGCTTGCTCTGACTTGCACATTTGAGACTTTGTGGAGCTGTGTCCCTCACAGCAGAAATAATGCAATGGCCAAGAACAAATTATGGGTCTGGAGTGTGTTTTCTTGTCTGCAGGTCCCACACAAAGGGGCTGAAAGTGTGGATTGGCTTAAATAAGGGTGAGGTTCTGGTTCAGGCTTCTGTGTAGCAACAGATAAACTCTGGGCTGACTTATCATTTGCTTTTCTTTGTCTCCTCTCGTTTGTTTCAGCCTCATCCCTTTTCTTCCCAGAAGGCATGCTCTCATCCCTGACACTGCCCTTCTCACTTGCGTTACTCACTTGGCTTCCTCTCTGTTTTCCCTGTTTGCTGCCTCCCTCCTTTGCCCGCAGATCACCAGGCCTCTGCTGCCATGTCCCCATCCTCCCCCACATCATCTCATCTAGGCTCCTGCTCTGCTCCCTGTGATGGGCACCTCCTTAATGGCAAGGGCTGACTCTCAAATAATTATCTGGGTTGCTGATTAGCAGTTTGTAAGGGCAGAGCTGGCTTGGGCTTTTCGTTAAGGCTCTGGGCAAATACCCTTTCTAGCTGCTTTCCTGCTCATATCCCTGTGGATCCTCCGTGCAGAACCGGCTCAGCTGCCTGAACATGGATTGTGGCTCCAAAGGGGCTAACGTTGACCCAGAGCTAGTAAGTCCATCTGTATTCTTGCTGCTTGTTCCCATGCTCATTCCCTCTTTGCTTCCTCAAGGATCCCACTGAAGAGCAGAAGGGTTCTCAGCTAGCACCTGCTGCGTTGCCCAGTTCATTCTCTGGTTGTGTTTGGGATTTTGTGACCCATTTTGCTTGTTGGGAAGGACATAATCCCTTCAGTGTGTGGACTGAAGGGACTGAGTGTCTGGAAAGGGGTGTGAGGAACAGCTATGTTTGTGAGAGACGGGGGAGGAAAGCTGGAGGATGGTTTTGCACTACTTCTTGCATCCACAGTGTCGGAAGGGAAGTGGTGGGCAACTTGGAGGAGCTCCATCCCAACCTAAGGGAGCACTGCTAGTTTTCTCATATGTAGCTCTGTGACCAAAAGAAAATGTGAACTTCTTTCATAGGACAGGAACAGTGCTTTCCTTTCCATCTAGAAAACATCCAGCACATTTTGTGTGCTATTAGGGCTATAAAAGAAAAGCCACAGGCAAAAGAAGAGAGACAAACTCCTTGGCTTGTGTGAGTTTATGAAGGTGCAAGCACAGGTTGGGCAGAGAAGAGATTCAGAGCAGCCCTGCGGAGAAGGACTTGGGGGTATTGGTTGATGAGAAACAACATGAGCCGGCCTCAGTGTGGCTTGCAGCCCAGAAAGCAACCGTGTCCTGAGCTGCATCAAATGGAGCGTGACCAGCAGGGTGAAGAAGGTGATCCTGCCCCTTTACTCTGCTCTCTTGAGACCTCACTTGGAGCATTGTGTGCAGTTCTGGTGTCCTCAACATAAAAAGGACGTGGAGCTGTTGGAACAAGTCCAGAGGAGGCCACGAGGATGAGCAGGGGCTGGAGCACCTCCCGTGTGAAGACAGGCTGAGAACATTGGGGCTGTTCAGCCTGGAGAAGAGAAGCTGCGTGGAGACCTCAGAGCAGCTTCCAGTGTCTGAAGGGGGCTATAAGGAGGCTAGGGAGGGACTCTCCATTAGGGACTGTAGTGATAGGACAAGGAGAATGGGTTGAGACTTAAACGGGAAGTTTAGATTGACTGTAAGGCAGTTCTTTACTGTGAGCATGGTGAGGCACTGGAATGGGTTGCCCAAAGAAGCTGTGAATGCTCTATCCCTGGCAGTGTTCAAGGCCAGGTTGAACAGTCTTGGGTGACATGGTCTAGTGTGAGGTGTTGGAGGGGGGTATTGGAACTGGATGGTCTTAAGGTCCTTTCCAACC